ATTGGGTTTTATTATTATTATTATTATTATTATTATTATTTTCTCCCTCCTCGAGGAGTGAAATAAAAAATCAGCCTGTTTTAGGATCCCAGGCTGGGATGGGTTGGAGCAGTGCGGGGAGAAAGGGGGAGGCAGGATGGAGGAGGGCAGGGGATGGACGCGCATTGCATAGCAATGAGAGAACCTCCAAAGTTTGGGAAAACAAATGTTTGGGAAAACCTAGGGGCTTAGGTGGGTGAGAGCTGGCAGGACCCTGCAGCGATGGGGTGGGGATGGCATGGGGCAGGAGGGAGGATGCAGAGAGCAGCAGGGCCAGGGGATGGCTTTGGGGGTTCCTGTGCTCCTGATTTGGGATGGGTTTACACCCAAAGGGATGGAGCTGTCAGAGCAAAGCCTGCAGGGGTAGAATGATGGGAAAGCTGTGCTAGGTCCTCAGTGGTTATATTTGGAGGGTTTGGGCTGGATACGGACCCACTCCTGCTCCTGTCTTCCCAGCCCTGGGTTGGGAGTGCTGTAGGGTCAGGAGGGCTCTGGGAAATGCAGCTCTGAAAACAGGGAAGGGGCAAAGCCCCCCGTCTGCTCTTCCAGCTGAAGCCTGTGGGACCAGCAGCACCTGCCCAGTGGGGGTGAGTGCCATAATGGGGGAATTGAAGCTGTGATTTTGGACCTGAAGCTGACCACGTGCCAGGCTGTGCACAGAGGGGACAGCAGTGCCACCCTCCAGTGCTCCCAGCACACCCTGCCTTGCCCCCCATCCCTGCTCCTCTGTGAAGCTGCTTTAGGTCCCTTTGTGGTTTTGCAGGTCATGGGCTGCGCTGGGAGCTTTTGCACCCCAAAGCTGATCTTGGGCAGCGCTTTGCCACGCACATGGTCTTGCAGCCCTTCTACACACATCCTCATCTTTTCATCCATGTTTTTAGGTCTTGCACAAGGGGTGCAGCCACCCCTCCTGCACGCTGGCACCACCCCAGCACAGCACAGCACAGCTCCCTGCATCGCTCTGTGCCCCGGGATGCCCGGTTGGGTTCAGTGGGCCATTGCCAGCAGCCGTTCCCCACGACAGGGCTGGCACAATGGGGCAGGCTGAGGCTTGTCCAGCACTCCCCTGACTGCAGGCAATGGTCCCTGCGTCACGGCTGTCACGAGGAGACGTGGGGCTGTGCCCCTTCCTCCTCCTCCTCCTCCAAGCATGCCCAAGGTGGGTGTGGGGGGGTCCTGCAAGCTGACCCACGCTGTTGCAGCAGGAAAGTAGGGGCACATCCAGCCCCGGGGCGTTGGCAGCTTTGTCCCCACCACCTGTTTGGGGAAGGAGTGCCCCACAGGGTGCAGCTCTGCAGGCCCTGCTCACCCACAGGTGCTACAGGTGCATGGGGTCTGAATAGCCAGGGGTCACAAGTGGGCTTAATGTGGGGGCGTGGGTCCAATGGGATGCTCCTATCCCATGCATGGGGTTGGGAGGGCACCAGCATTACGAGCAGCAGGTGTTAACCCAGGAATCACAAAGAATTTGGCCTGGCGTGGTGCTGGTGGGAGGCGTGCCAGCCTGGCAGCCAGGAGGAGCCATGGCTCTGCTGCCAAACAGCACTCGGTTTCTTTGGGCAGAGCCAGCGCTGGCAGCTTGCATCTGCATGGGGAGCCCCCCCTGTTCTGAGGGGACGGGATGTTGGGGTGCAGTGAGGTGGCTGCTGGGGTGTAGGTGTCGATTTCCAGCCAGGGAATGAGGAGAGCAGCACGGGGATGCCATGCTCTGTCCCAGTAGCTTTTGGTTAGGAGACACATTAACAGGCAGGAATGTGCAAACAGCCAAAGGTCGGGGTAAGGCGGCTGCAAAGCCCACAGCACAGTGAGTGGAGGCAGAACCCCATGAGGGCAATGCAGGGGATCCCCGGGCACGGGGCTCCTCAGACCCCACTGATCACTGTGCCCTCCTCCTGCCGGGTGGCTCTTAGGGGTCACAGAACACATTCCAGTTGTGCAGATGGTTCTGGCTGCTGCCCCACACCTCCTCCTCAGCCCCATCGTGTGCGGGGCTGCCGACCCAGATGGCAAACACCCCCCGCCTTTCCCAGCAACGCGGCGTAGGGAGAAAATGAGCATCGTCCCCATCCTGGCCCCAAAGCATGAAATACGGCACTGTCAGTCCGTGCCAGGACTGATGCTCACAGTGTGCACTGCCCCAGACCTGGCCCAGAACCTCCTCTCCTCCTTAGATCGAGAACTGAAGGGCTTTGGTATGTGAGATGGGACGCTGCGGTGGTCCCCGGGCTTGGCTGGAGGAGGGGTTCTGCACCCCATCCCCATCCACAACGGCAGCACTAAGTAAACAGTGCTGGGGGAACCTCGTTAATCCTGATCATTCATTTACAAAAAGCCATTTAGAGCCGGCTATGCAGGCAGCTATCAGAGCACTGGGGAAGATTTCCCAGCAGGACCTTAATTCCCTCTGCAAATAAAGCCGGAGGTAAGGAGAGCACAGCTTGTGTCTGTGCCATGGCAGTGGATGGGGTTGTGGGGGGACTTCTGGGGCCAACCCTTAGGGACTGATCCCCACCAGCCTACAATGAGCCAAGGGCTGAGCTCTGCTGCTTCATCTTGTTTTGTTTTGTTTTAGGGACTCAGCCAACAGCTGCGGTGCAGCTCTGGGGCAATCGCTGCCATGCTGCATCCCTTGGCATTGTCCTGCCCTGGGGTGTCAGTGCTGCACTGGGAAGACTGGGGAGCTGCAGCAGTTCCCACGTGGGCATGGCTCTCCTGCATGCTGAGAACCTCCATGAGACATCGTGGCTCAGAGAAAAGCTGGTAGGGCTTGAGACAACTGTTGCCAGAGAGGCAAAGCCCTTTGGTGGGTTTGGTTCCTTCTCACCCCATTCAAGCTCACCCTAGCAGCAGCTGGGTGCACCCACGCTCTGTGGGCACAGGGGCAGGCAGAATTCATTTCTGCAATGGGACTCTTCCTGGGGTGGGTAGCACTGAGGCACGATGAGGGGACAGCAAGTCCTTGCTCTGAGGGGTGCTCTTAACTGACTGTACCTGGATGTCATCAAGATTACACCTTTCGTGGGGTGAACTTTGCTTCTACACAGGCAGCTGGGAGGGATGTGCCATGGGGGTCAGCACAGAGCACACAAAGCAAAGCAAGGTGCTTCCTGCCTCACTGCCCCAGCTGCACATCAGGTCCCTTCTCTCCTTAGCAGCATTTTGGGAGCCCAGCACCCCAAACCTGCTGTCCGCCAAGCAAAATGACCATCACGTCCCCATGGGAGCAGCAGCCACTTCCTTGTGTCTGCAGCACCAAAAACTCCCATTGCTGAACAACAGGGCCGTGATGTCATCCGAACTTTGTGTCCAAACAGCCCAAAGCCATCGGGTTCTGATCAGATCCCGACCTCCAGTGTTGGAGTAGCACAACAGCTTTGCTCGGTGCCAATTGGACTCATCAGCACTCTCGTTAGCACACCGCAGCCCCAGCCATGCACAGCGCCAACTCGGCCGTTGGTGACACCCTGCCAGGAAGAAAAAGGAGCAGGGGGGAAGCGGCATTCCTTCATCCACTGCTGAGTCATTGCCTTTCATCCTCCGCAGCGGCAGCTTCGGCGCGGAAAGCGATTGTTGCAGGGGTGGGAAGGCGGCTGTGAGCGGCGGGATGGCAGCAGTAGCCGGCGGGATGTGGTGCAACCTGTGCTGTTTTTTGTTTCAGGAGAGGCCAAGGGTGGTTTGGGGTGTGCACACACCTGGGACGTGTCGCAGTGCTCACATCCCCATCTGTCTGGTGTCACTTTGGGGTGTGGGTGCACACGGCTCAGGTAGGGGGGAGATCTCCTTTTGGCTTTGTTCTGCCCTTAGAACGAGAGGGGGTGCAATTACAGAAATGGTGTGGATTGGCAGAAAAGAAAAATAATCGTTTCCAAATGCAGCCGTGCTCAGCCCAGACAGTTCAATTCTCAGGGACGCAGTGCTTGTTAGCAGATGTCCCCACTAACCCCGGTGGGCAAGCACAGCCAGGCTGTGTCACACGCAGAAAATACACTGCCCTTCCTGTCGGCCAGTACACAGCTGTCTGCAGCATGATAAGGTGCATCATAAAATGCACCCGTTGTTGAATGAAAGAGACCCATTGGGCTGTCTCCGTTCCTTTCCTAAGCACAGGGTGGGCTGACAAGGGGAAGATAGATGGGGACACAGCGGTCCCCCCCATAGCAGCAGGCTGCACGAGGTTGGGGGTCTGATTTGTGGCACACACAGAGCAGCATCTGACATCAGCAGAGCCAGCTGCAGCTGGTGGCAAGGTCACACTGGGGCACTTCCCTGCTGTGCATCGCCTTCCTGCAATGGGTGCAGCACCTTTCTGGCAGCAAACAATGCCAGGACACATTGAGCTGCTGCATTTCCTCCTTCCGTGGGCAGCCTCTGTGCATGAGCCCAGTGCAGTGTGACAGAGCAGAGGGGAAGGTGGGACGTGTTCATCCCTCTGTACTGGCACTGGTGAAGTTGCACCTCGAGTGTTGTGTTCAGTGTTGGGTCCCTCTCTACAAGAAAGGCATTGAAGTACTGGAGTGTGTTCAGAGGTGCACAGCAGAGCTATGGGGGGTTTGGAGCATGAATCTTATGGGGAGCAGCTGAGGGAATGGGATGGGTCAGAGGCCAGGAGGCAGCTGAGCCTGGCTGCCACAGCCCTCCTGCAGGACCACCAACACTGGTTTCCCACCAGGTGGCCTTTGGGACCCCCTCGTGTCTTGCAGGGCCGCCGCTGACATTGGGGTCACTCTGTACATCCCAGCAGAGAAAGGGTGCCACAGTAGGACGCACCACACCCTTCCCAAAATGGCGGCGCAGACCGTACGCCACACTCAAGTTGGCTGCCGATATTTCTTTTGCGCATGCGCCTTACATCCCCGCCAGCCGCATTCAAGGCGTCCGCGCACCAGCGCAGCTCTCCTTCCGGCCCCTGTGCGCCGGAGGCCACTCTTTAGACGGCACTTTCCGTTTCTGCGCATGCGCAACGTCCCTTGCCGCTCCCAAGATGGCGCCGTGGCGGTGACCGGCCGGAAGCGGGCTGTGCAAGCGGGGTTCCTCTGTGGAGCTCGGCCGCGGCGCTCCGCGGCACGATGATCCCCACCGAGGAGATGTCGGCCCGCAGGAGGGAGATCGAGGACAAGCTGAAGCAGGTGAGGCTGGGCCGGGGGGCAGCCGCGGGTCCTGTCGGTGCGTGGATGTGGGGCTGGGCCTGCAGCCTCAGCGCGTTGCCTCGGAGACGGGCCTGGTGCTGTGAGCTGTGAGCCGCCCCAGCTCTCCTCGGGGCCGGGCCGTGTCTGTGTGTCCCTGCCCGCTCCTGGGGCACGGAGGCTTTCTGAGGGCTCGGTCTCACAGCCGCAGCTGGGCTGTGGGTGGAGGTGCGTGGTGTGAGTTGGGGTGGTGGAGGCGTTGGTTTTGCGCTGTGATTTGAGCGTGAGGCTGCGGGCTCGGGGAAATGAGCGATCCTTGACAGCCTCGCTCCTTGCATAGCGCTTCTCGCCTCGGGTTAGGTGCTGTTTTCTCTCAATAGGTGGTATGTTACAGTGTGGCCTCAGATCAAGCACGCAGATCTAGCAAGACCTGTACAAACCCGTGTGTGGTGTTTAGGGAACTGAGCGCTCGGTGGTCTGAAATGGAAACTGCTTTTCATCCTAATTGCAGGAAGAAGAAACTCTGTCCTTTATCAAAGAGAGTCTTGAGAAGAGCGACCAGCTCACAAAGAACATGGTAAGGAGCTCCTTGAAGTTCAGCCTTAACGTTGGGTCACGGTCTGTTCATCCTTAGGAAAACTCATATTTGAGGGTGGTGTTGTACTTATTTGAAGGATACATGAATGCTTTTACACTCCACAGGCTGGTTTCAAATCCATGCCTTTCTCCAATGGAGGTGTGGGCACAAAGCAAAGGCTTCATCTCCTTACAGTCTGTCCTTTCTCTTGGGGAGAGGTATTAATAGGCCCCAGGCTAATTTGTGCAACAGCATCTTGTTCTTGCTTCACAAAGGCTGGTCTTATTTGGAATTTATTTGGTAATACTTTGCTTAAGAGGTAGAAAGTAATTATTGCACTCTGATTGGTTCTGGTAAGCCCTTAACTGGCATATAACATTCAGTTTTGTGTTCAGCAATTTAGAAAAGTCATAGAAGCACCACCAGATAAGTCTGGAGGATTCATCATAAGAGTGCATCCTGAAAGAATTGCGTTTTGACCCAGAAGAGATGACGTTAAGACACCCTCTGTGGGCTTGCTAAGGTTTTCCACAGTTCAGAAGCGACAGATCCTTTGGGAAAACAAATACAGTGTAGAAGAACATTCGTGCTGTACTGTGCCTTTGTGTTCTACTGCTCTGTTTTACATCTTAGTGTTGTGGAGCAAGGTGGCTGCCAGGTGATGTTTTTACTGATCTCTTGTATCTAAGGCACCTCCAGGCATTTCCAGTGGCTTTGTGTCTTGCTATCAAGTAAAATTTTGCTCTTCCTTAGTACTGTTCTGGTATGTTTGCATGCTTTACAAAGGTAAGGTTAGCCTATCTTTGACAGCAGATGATCTGTATTGTAATTTCTTCTTTAGGACATAGAAAGTTTAAACAGTCTGCCTTAAGGAGTCATGGCAAATTTATATCAAGCCTGGAACAGAAGTGGGGCCTGAAGGTGGCTGATTGCCCTACTCTAGCTGCTGACCTGTAGTGTGAATTCGTGTGGAGGGATGTCCTCAACTCTTCTGTCTCTCTTGGCACGTAGGTTTCTATCCTTTCCTCCTTTGAAAGTCGTTTGATGAAGCTGGAGAACTCGATCATCCCTGTCCATAAACAGACAGAGAATCTACAGCGCTTGCAGGAGAACGTGGAGAAAACCTTGTCCTGCTTGGATCACGTCATCAGTTACTACCATGTGGCTAAGGACACAGAGAAGATCATAAAGGAAGGGTGAGTTCAGTAGCTGGGTCTCGCTGGGGTGCTTCATCCTACCAGTTTTGGGGTAGAGAAGGCACTGACTCCGCACGCTCAGTTTCCTCGTATCCTTCTCACATTCCTTTTCCACCACTCATCCCCTTTCTGACTTTGCTTTCAGCAGTCCTCAGAGGGCAGAGTCTGCTCAGACTGCACTGATGCCTCTTCCAGATTTTACACATGCTGCCATATGAAGCTCATGACCACTGTTGGCTTCATTTCTTTTCTCCACCCTTTTCCCAAAAGTTCACTGTTCCCTGTCGGTGCTGTCGCTGCATCCATGATGAACTGAAGCTGTGCTGGGGCCTTCTTTCAGTCTCTAGGAGATGTGATGGCCCTCCTTCTGGGGTGCTCAGTCATCAACACTTCTGTGCTTGCTGCATGACTTGGCTGTTCAGCTGTGGCACTGAGTGGAAGCAAGAGTGAATTCATGAACTCCTTCAAGCTGGATAGAAAATGATTGAATTTTTCTGTATTATTTTCATCCTGAGTCTGTCCTGCTGCTGACTTTGTATTTTTTTTCCACTGATCCTTTTTATTTTTGCTTTTATTTTTAGCCCCACTGGGAGGCTGGAGGAGTACTTGAATTGCATGGACAAAATCCAGAAAGCAGTGGAATACTTCCAGGACAACAATCCAGACAGCCCGGAGCTGAACCGTGTGGTAGGTCATAGCTCTGGAAGCTGACATGGGAGAGACAGGGCCAGCCACAGCCCTGCCACTTGCCCTCTTGCTGTGAGAGGCTGGGGGGCTTGCTGCCTGGTAAAGAAGGGGTTTGGGCACAGCTGGAAAAATGATTGCTTTGGTTTCTGTTTGAGTCTGAACCCAGCAGCGTTTCTCCTTGTGATATTTTGCTCTTTTCATGCTTTATGCCGTTAGGATTTCTAAAAGTATTCCCTGCACGCAAGATAGAGATGCTAGAACCTTCCCTCTGAGTAGCTCTTGTCAGCCCTTCAGTTGCTGGAGCAGTATGGGAGATCTTTTTCAATCCCACTTGTGTACCGAGCGACCCCCAGGAATTTTTGTATGTAACTAAGTCGTTAAAAGTCTCTTAGCTACAGGCATTGGAGTTTGAAGCATGCAGTACTTGACAGTGATTAGAAGCACTGCAGAAAGTGCAATCTCATGCAGAAAGACTTGTGAGTGACTGATTACAGAAACCCTGTTCTTCTGTCCTCTGCTGTCTTGTGCCAGAAATCCCTCTTTGAGAGGGGAAAGGAGTCCTTGGAATCAGAGTTCCGCAGCTTGATGACACGGCACACCAAACCTGTCCCACCCATCCTCATCCTGGACCTGATCAGTGGGGAAGATGAAATGGACACGCAGGAGGAGATGTCACTGGAGCACCTCCCAGAGAGCGTCCTGCACGACGTCATCCGCATTTCTGGCTGGCTGGTGGAAAATGGCAGGAATCAAGGTTGGCAGCACTGCCTGATGTGCCCTTGTAGCTCTGTGCTGTCAGTGCTCTCCCACTGGTCGTCACCTGAGGCTGAGGGCAGAAGCAGGCTGTTGGAGCTGCAGTCATTGGGTGCTATGATATCACAGAGGTGGAAGGCACTGATGACTTTCTCCTTCTTGTGAACTATTTGAGAGTCAACCGTTTTTAGTTCAACGTGACCAAAATGAAAGCAGCACAGAATATTTTCTTCAGTCAATACACATCCTCCCTGTTTTGCAACATCAGAGTTTACCTGCATCCTTATACTCTGTTGTTGACTTTTCCTTTGCTATGAGATGACTTAGTGGACCTGTTACAGGAAGGCTGTTCTTTCACATACATGCAGCTACTGGAACTACCCCCACTCCAGTGATTTAATTCTGAGTGAGGATTACTGTGCCAAGCAAGTATGACAAACAGCCTTAAAAGCTGCTTAAGAATTTTTCCATGATCAAAGGAAGCAACTGAAGTATATATGGCTCATTCTTTAATATTAGGCAGTTTATGTTCTGCTTTCAGACAGTGAACCCCCCCCATTTAATCTCTGTAGGCCCTGAAACCTGAGAATTGTTTGAAGTCTTTCATGGTGGAAATGAAGTGCTTGAATTGATTTCAGAATGTCTTGCACAAACATCTCCCATCAGTTCCAAAGCTGATGCTCTCTTGGTTGTGGCATGCATTTACTCTTGGGTGTGGTGGGAGGGTCTGAGTGAATACAGCAGAGGAAGGAAGCCTGTTTTTTAAGAAAATAGGAGAATTTTTCCAGCTGTTGTGTATCAACAAGACAGCAGCTGAGCCTGAAGCATGGGCAGGTGCTTTGTGTGCTGGAGTCAAATGCAGGAGACTCTTGAGGAATGGGTTCTAAGGGACTTGGGCTGGAGAGGAGGCAGGTTCAGGGTGTGGTAGTGACATGGGGAAGGGAAGGGGACGGAGCTGGAGGAAGAGTAAACAGGATGGAAAGGGAGAGCACTGTACTGAATGCAGGGTTAATTGGCTTGTCCTTTGAAGCATCCTTCTGTAAGAAAGGCCTGGAAGTGATTTGATTGGGTCTGGTGTGAGAGATGTGATAGAACACTCTGTGGCTTCTTGGTTGCAAAGTCAACCTTAGAGCTGTGGCAGGATAAGAAGGGTGGGAATGGAGGATTCACAGGGATTGCCTGGATTCCATTTCAGGTTTCACCATCTCTGTTCTCTATCTGTTTTAGTTTCTCCATTATGACATAGAGAGACATGTGTCTCCTCTGTACTGTCATTGCTCTTGCTATTGAGTCCATTTGTATTTTAGTTTCTGGATTTGGGGTGGTTGGATTTGATATTCTGGGAGGGGAAAGCCCTTGTTTAGTTCCCACATCAATGCTGTTCAAGTCCCCCTTGGGCCACGGTATTTCAGGAACATTTTTATTTCTTTTTTTGCCATGCAGTGTTTCCTGTTTGCTCATAACCCTGCTTCTACTTTGTCTCCTTAGATTTCATGACAGTGTACTTCCAAATCCGTTCAGTCCAGCTCGACCGCTCCATCAAGGGGCTGAAAGACCACTTCCGTAAGAACAGCTCTTCTACAGGGGTCCCCTATTCCCCTGCCATCCAGAACAAAAGGAAGGACACTCCCACCAAAAAGCCAATCAAGAGACCAGGTGAGTCCCTGATTGGGGATCTCTGTACGTTCTATCATCTTGCCTGGGTGTTTGACACACTTGTGCAGGACCTCTTGCTGCTGAAGTAGATTCTGGGCGCTTTCCAGGCAGGAGAGGAATGGGATTTCAGAAATTAGCACCTCTTCTCTGCCTTGGATTCAATACTGAGATTGCAGACCTTATCTCCATTACTCAAGTCCTTGGGTCTGTTCTCTGGGGTGGGTTCTGTATACAGGGAAAGAACAAGGCATTATTTTAACAGAGGAAGTCGGCAAAAAGAGACCGACGAGAGAAGGAAATTAATGTGATTTGACAACATTTGTCCTCAGCCTTGGAATATCTCCTGTGTTACAGCAAAGTGGGAAACTCAGACCTGAGGAAGCATATCACTTTGATCTCTAGTTACGAGTAAATACTGTGCTGTAGGAAGCTGAGGATTCATCAGGAGTTGAAGCAGGGACTAAGCAGGTGCCTACAGACAGGAGGGCCAAAATTGTGCTGATCAAATTTTGAAAGGGTTGTTCAAGCTTTTGCCTCAGGAGCCTATCTGGCTCTCAAATTACTCTGCTTGCCTTCGTAATGGAGTTTTACTGTGTTCTCTGCAGCTGATGAGGCTGAGCGCTCCTGTGTGCTGCTCCAGCTGGAGTGTGGAGCTGGGGCTCTGGGCTCTGGGATATGCCATCAGTGGGAGCACAGCTGGGAAGGTCAGCAAAAGCTGGCACGTGCCTCCCATGGCAAAGCAGTGATGCTTTCCCTCTGCCTATCCCAGCACCTTGCTATCTCCAGACTAAATAGGGGTGGAAGTCAGAAAAGCATGGACTGTTGTGGGTTTGTTTAGTAAAATACTCTCTTCCAGTCCAATATTTTTGCCTTGCTGTCCAAACACCTCCCATGGGTTCAGGAAAACGAGAAATGTGGATAGGGGATGGGAATAGATGGGGTGGGGAGAGAGAGAGGGGGGAAAAAACCATCCATTTTAATTGTGTTGTGTTTATTTTTATAATCCCGATGTGAACGCAGTGCTCATCCCAGGTAACGTATGTCTGTGTGTGTGCTGACCTGGCGCTCGCTTTCTTCACTTCTGAATGGAGAGGCTTTGTTGGACCTCTTTGTGCTAAAGCAGAGGGTGTGCCTGGGATATTGGGAGAGGGAAAGCTGCCTTCAGAAGTCTGTACATCCAGAGATGCCCATCTGGTGCTTTTCAATCAATCTGTGCCATTGCTGCTGTGCCCTGGAGCTGTTCCTGAGAGCTGATGTGTGAGTTGCAGTGGTGAATGCAGGCAGCATTCTAACAGATGTTCCCTGTCAGCAGAGAACTGCCTGACAAAGGGATGTCTCACAAGTCACTTGACATTCCTGTGGAGCTTTTAAAAATGTTCTTTAGTATTTTTTTTAAATGAGTCTCAAATCTTGGCTGTTTACACAGTGCCAAAGCAGTCCACATAAGCTTTTGTTTTCTACAGACAAGGCTCCTCCGAAATGGATGCATTTGGGCATCCAGAACTTGTGAATACCTCAGCTGTAAACTTGCCAAGAGGTCTGGCTTCTTTTTCCTCAGTTTAATCACAGCCTGTGAGATGGGTCAGGTAGCAGAGCACAAAGAATGCACTCACAGCTGACAGTGTGTGAAGGACAGAGCATTTCAGATGATCCGCTGGAGATGCTGTCAGTCTCAGGGATTGCCTCCAGTCTTCTGTGAGCAAAGGCAGAGAACCAGGCTGTGGCTCTTGAAGGGCAGGAGTGGTTAAACCTCATAGGACACCCATCTCGTATGGCACTAAATTGTAGTGAAATGAGATGAGGGAGCTTATCTTTCCTTACTAAGATTCACCAGTATTTCTGCAGTTCTGTCAGCTTTCAAGGACAGCTCCTGAGGTGAAACTGATATTCTTTCCACGTTGGTACAGTGATTCTCTTAATAATACTATTCATCTGATGGCATTTAATTCACCTGATTTTAGCTTTTGTTCAATTACAGGCAAATAATCTTGGGTTTTTTTCTCTGCTACTGCTTTAGTAAGGAAAGTACCACACATTTGTGTTTTAGGTGAGGGGTTTTCTCACTGTTTGAACAAGGGAGTGGATTCCCTTGATCCTCAGGGAAGAGTATCCCAGTGCACACCCCAACTTTAACCTGTTGCAGGGGATCAGTAACAAACTAAATCTGATGTTCTATAACCTTTTCACCCACAGAGCAAAGTGGAAGGAAGTTGCAGCTAAAGGCAAAGTGAGATATTAGGAACAGAGTAACAAGGCAGAAACATCCCCCTCCCCCAGGCAGCGTGTTGGGATTCTGGAGAACGTGCTCCATTCCTTGTATTGTGTCAGAGTCTTCATCTCCATCGCTGTTTCATTTCTTGGTGTACCCTGCATTGTCTCCTCTTAAGGCATGCAATTAGAAACACCTCCAGCAGTCAGATTTTTAAAGCCAGATCGCCTCCTCTGATCTGAGACTTGCCAAGTTGAGTTGGAGCAATCTCTGGTTTTTATTATTTTTAAAGCAGTTTGCTGGGAGCTCTTCCCCAGTTTGCTTCCTTAGCAGCTCGGTTTTACCTAGCAGCAGGGTGCTACCTGAAGACAGGCTGTGTGCAGTCTTTGTGTGGCAGAATAAAGAGACTGTGCCTGCTTCCCATATTGATCACTGCCTGGCTGGAATGTGATGCTTTCATTAGCAGCTGAAATGCCATCCCGTTTGGTCTGAGAGCTGCCTAACAAGGGAAAGCAATCGTGGAACAAAAGCGTTTGCTTTGCACTAGAATCTATTAAAGGCTAATGCCAACGCTAAGTAGGAGGGATATGGCAGCACTGAAGTGATGTCTACAAACATTTAGGGTGTGTGTGTCAGTGTGTACGCTGCTAATTGTTCTTATGTAAATGAAGGCAGAGGTGTTTCAAACACTCAACAGAGAGGAAAACCATGGGGATGAGCTGTGAAGTGCCCTAAGGTCCCTGCGAGGGGAGGTCCTGCTGGCAGCAGCAGTAGTGCTGTCTGTTTGATTTTTAAACCAAAAGCAAGGTTTCTGAATGTAGCTAGGGGTGAAGTGGGAGAGTTGGGTGTGAAAAGCCTCAGGAGGCTTGGAAGAAGTGATGTTCTTCCCTCTCACTTGACCACGTACAAGAAGCTCAGAGTGAATCCGTCAGCACGAGGTCATGAGTCGTCCCGCTTGCCTGGTGTGGGTCTAGAGTTTTCCTGCCAGCCTAATGTGGTTTGCAGATGATGTTCTCCTCCTGTTTATTGTGAGCAAGCATGCGTGTTCTCCTGTTTATTGCAAGCCCTGGGGAGGCACCTTGGTAATTCACTGGGAAATGTCCCATTTCTGTGCTGCTCAGATTGAGATGCCATGTCTGTGAGATGTGAGGATTCCATCCGCCTGCCAGACACCTGGTCAGTGTGTAGGGGTAGGATTAGGGACTGGGGAGCAAGAAAGCACAGAGCACCGGTGTGAGGGAGGTTGCAAAGGAAGATGAACTGTGCCAAAAGGTCTCAGTGTAGGGTCCTTTTCAAGATGACCCCAGATGTGGTGGCTGTTGGAAGCGGTCAGTGCCTGGAGAGACAGTGCAGTGCCCTGTGATCCTGTGCCTCAGGGCTCTGTTCTGCAGTGTGCTCTTGTTTTTCTCCCTGGATTAGCTTAGTCCTCAGCTTCTGGCAGCTGGCACTCATCTCCTGCCTGCACTACGTTGAACATTTACTGGGGGATGCAGGCATTTTCTGCATGTTTGAAGTATTTATTGCTTTAAGGTAGAGAAATGATTCTTAGTGTTGTTGGCAGCCCCATTTTTATTTCTCTGATCCTCTTTCATTTACTCAGCCCATTTCTGTTTCATCTTTTTCTATGGAGAGTCCATCTGCCTTCCTACAGCTTTCTGTTCCCTGTAGTGCAGGCGAAGGTGAAGCTCTGCTGTGGGAGGGTGTCCATGTGCTTGTGATAACAGTAGCTTATTGCATGACCACTAACCTTCTAATGTGGAAACAGTGCTTGGTTTTCAGTTGTCCCATTAATGCATTTTTGTGTATGCTTTCTAGCTGTATATACAGCACCAGCTTTTGTTCAGTTGTCTGTTTTTTATTTGTGTGTGTTAAGTACAAATCTTTTAACCCACTGTTGTTTGTTTTTTTTTTCCCCATGGTTTTAATTGATTTGAGGTTCCTTTGGAAGAAAAGTGTCTTGGGGATTAGGGTGACTTAATACAAGTTAGAGTGGGCAGCATCCGTTATTCTGATCCCTATGATGGGAATTGCTGCTGCAATTGCTCTCTCGAGTCCAGAGGTTGTCACTCTTTTATGCTTCCTAGAATGGCTTCCTAGAATGCCAGAGATCATTCCTTGTCTTGGCTGTGGGGATCTGTATTGAGCATGCTCAGCAAATACCCCTCAGGAGGGCACCCCTTCCTGCAGCTCTGAGGATGAGCTGTGTTTGTGGCTCTGGGAGCACGCAGTGCTGGATGGAAATTGTCCACGCCACAGCCCAGGGGAGGCTCGGCTGCAGAACAGCTGTGTGTGTTCTGTAGCCTTGGCTGAACTTCATAGCCTCCCCTTGAAGAAGGGAGACAACCTGAAAACACTGCTGTGTCAGCACGTTTGGACGTGAGATTTGGGTTCTTCACGTACTGAGCATGCTCAGTGGTGCCCAGCATCCTCTCGCTGGGCCCAGGTGACAGCTGCTGGTGAAGGGCTGGTGTTCTGGGTTTGTTTTCTTTCACTCATTTTCTAGGTCTTCTTGTCTCTTCTCTCTGGCTCTGGTGACAGGCACGATCCGTAAGGCTCAGAACCTTCTGAAACAGTACTCTCAGCATGGTCTAGATGGGAAAAAGGGGGCCTCTAACCTCATTCCTATGGAAGGTAATCACGGCTCAAGCTACTTCACCTTTGAGCTTCTCTGTGTTATCAGCCTTGCTTTTCCAGGTGGGGCTTCCATTAGCCAAGTGCTTGGTGGACAGCATCATGAGTACAGCTATCCTTGGGGAACTGGGGAGGTACTGGAGGGCCAAATGAGGTCTCTGAATGTAGTGGCTAAATTTCCAAGTCTCTGTAGACATTGATGGCGAGGAATCTTACCTTAAAGCAATTGGTCCATCATGGGAACGTGGCTAATGGAAGCTCTGCTCTGATGACATCTGCCTGTGGTGTTTCTGTTCTGTTCTTTTTTACCTGGACTTTGAGACATTCAGTTTCCTAGCGACCTTTCCAAACCTGATGTAGAAGTGTTACACCACAGTGAGCCCAGTGCATCATCTGTGAAGGCCTACCTCAACAGTCTCCTTCCATATTCCAATCTCCTGTCTTATCAGAGAAGAAAGGTCTCTTGTTCAAAGCATCTGGAAGACCTTTTTAGCTCGTGCTTCATATTCATTTGAAGCAGAGCTGTTCAACACCTACACTGTAGTCTACTGGCTCCCAGGCAGTGATTAGAATCACTTACTGGGGAAAAAAGTTCTCAGTGCTGAGCAGGAGATGGGCTTTGAGTTTGGTTTGTAACGGTTGTGGGTGCAAATTGCACTTCTGGTGCCCACAATTCATTTCAGAGCTTATGACTCTGAGGAGGTTCAGGCGACACCTATGGCCCAGCAAACGATTGAACTCTCACTTCTCATCAGGTTTCAAAGGGTTGCTATTGCTACGTGGCCCCACACAGGGATTTGGTTAGGTAGCATTCCTGGAACTGCGTAGGGAAAAAATGTGGATCAGATGAAATAAGCCAAGCTTGAAGCAGCTTCCAGCCAGTGTGAGCATCCATGCTGTAACCACCCTGGATAAATTGCGCCTTCTGTTTGTGCCGGCTGACATCTCACTAGGTCATGAGCATGACTTACGAGTTAAACACCTTTCCGATACCCTGAGCGACAAGCATGGGCCGGTTGCTGGTAAGTACCATGTTGTCACTTCATAACAAGCTGGCTAACATCCCTTCTTTTCAGCATGTTTCACAGTAGTCTCGTAGCCAGCGGCTGTTCATCTACGTGGTAGTCCTGAGCACGGGCCTTTTCTGGCTGTGAAGCTCTGGCTCTTCTCAGTAGAATTCACTCCTACTAATTGCACACAGCCTGAGCTCTCAAACGGGGAACCCCAGTTTTGCCTGAGCAAAAGCTGATGGCCACTGTGCTGAGGGGCTCTTTCCTGTAGGTGGCTGCTGGCTTGGTTAGTGCTGAAGTGCAGCAGACAGGGATCACGTGTGGCACGTAGCACACCGCAGGCCATGTGTAATACCACACCACGTTTACTTGTCACTTGCTGACCAGAACTTTTAAAAGATCATCCTGAGGTACCTGTAGTGTTGGTTCTTTCTCCATCTACAGTTGCTGCTGGCAGGAAGGAGGCAGCAGCCTGCAGCTTAGAGAAGGCCCCTCTGCATTGATTTTGCCGCTCTGTAGTGGTTACTACAGGAATCGGAGCAATGCAGGATGATTTGAGTCCATTTGTGTCTGTCCTGTTGACAAATCCAGCTAGTGACTGGCATGAGTTGTATCTTACTGGCACTTATGCCTACCATTTAGGTCCCTTGCTGGGTCTTGAGATGTTCATATGCTAAGAATTTGAATATTCACATTTGTGTCTAACATTTTGTGGCAGATACCTCATCTAACTGTGTCTATATTCCTGCTTCATAGGAGTTAGTCATCCTTCTGCCTGTTGTTCTCTTTAGTTACTGCCTATGTGAAGAGGCTGTCTTCCTTCCTGTCAGCCTTGATTTCCCAGAAATGCTGATGCAGTATGGCAGTTCTTCATCTACCTGACAAAGGGAGACAAGGAAGTCTAAAAATACGAGGAGAGGCATTGAATAATTCACCTCAGACATTCCTTAGTTTAGTACTCTGTGTTCAAGCCCTTGTTTAATTTTAATTTGCATCCCACAAGAGTTTCAAACTTGCCTTCTGTCACAAGGCTGAGAAGAGCTGGTGTTATCCTGATGTGTCAGTTTCATGAACCACAGATGACTCTGCATGCCTCCTCTGGGGTTGCAGAGCTTTCCATGCACAAACCAAGGGGGCACCAGGACAGGCACAAAGCCAGAACTGCTTGTTTAAGAAGAACCGTGTGCTTTTTGTGTAATCCGGGGCCTTGGAGTGAGCAGAGCTGCTGGAAGCTCAGTGCATATTTGGTTCTCTTAAAAACATCTTGCCCTTACAGGGAGGGATGATGTGTTCGACATCGAGATCGATGCGTATATTCACTGTGTGAGTGCCTTTGTCAAACTGGCCCAGAGTGAGTACCAGCTCCTGACAGAAATCGTCCCAGAGCACCACCAGAAGAAGACTTTTGATTCCCTCATCCAGGTCAGTTGGGCCTTTCCTCTCAGTATCTCTTGTAGAGAATACGTACCAAGTATTTTTTCCTTCTTCTTCATTATGAGGATGTGGATTCTTCCATCTGCTGTGGGTGCCCAAGAGCACCAGCACGGCTAATGCTGAACTCCTGTGCAGGGAACCAGCTAAATTTTCATGCTCGATGGGTATCCTCTGAGCCCCTTGTGCTGGTTGGGCAGAAGTCACTGCTTACTTCTGACTGACTGGCTTTGTTACAGGAGTCATTAGATAACTTGATCATGGAGGGCGATAACATTGTCTCAGCAGCCCGGAAAGCCATCATCCGACACGACTATTCAGCTGTGCTCACCATCTTCCCCATCCTCAAGCACCTGAAGCAGATGAAGCCAGAATTTGACCAGGTCTTGCAGGTGAGTACAGTGGCAGTGAAGACAATCGTATGAGTTGGGTTTTCTGGACAGTTTTGAAAGAAATGACTGCAGTGGCTTTGCACAAAGCAGTGTCACCTCTGTCCTTCAGCACAGCTGCACCCGTCACTCCCAGCATTGCTTCTTTCTGTGATGCTGGGCCAGCACCTCTCAGCAGGAGTTGTATCTCCTGTGTCATGACTTGGTGATGGACTATCTACATTATTGGGTAACATACATAACCACTGCAGTGTTTAATCTGACACTGCACTGTTGAGCTTAGTTTAAACTGTGCTTGCTGACATGTGGACCATCACCTCCTCCGAGGAGAGCCTGCTTGGACCATGACACAAGGTACTCCAGGTATCAGATATGGCATCCAGGTTTAGCAAGGCTCTTTTCCATCTGCTTCCAGCTGGAGCTGATGACTGATTCACCAGCCTCTGTTAGGTACAAGAGGAAATACAAGAGGGAGCAAGTCCTAGTTGTCATTAATGTCGCAGCATCTTCCTCTCCTGTCACACCAAAGAATGCAGGATTTCACTCATTGTTGATTAGGGCTATAAATATTCTTTTGATACGTGGTGAATGAGATGATTGGGTATGGAGGAAAGAGAAGGATATGTGCTGGACAAAGGGTCAGATACTGCTTTCTTTGTTCTGTTATGGGACTATTTCAGGGAACTGCAGCAGGCACAAAGAACAAACTGCCAGGGCTGATCACTTCCATGGAGACAACTGGTGCGAAGGCACTGGAAGAGTTTGCTGACAACATTAAGGTAGGATTGCCTTCACTGTTCTCTCTACCAGGACAAGCAGGTTTAGAAAGGGAGGTTTTATGAGCAGACCTCCTAGCTGAGCTTTTCACTTCCCATGAAGGAGCCCACCTACTTTCTGACTCTAAAGCAGGGCTCTGCTTGCTGGATTGTATTGGAGGCTCAGCTGCAAGTACTGAACGCTGGCTGCTGGTTTCAAATACAAGAGGCCTCCACAGATATTCAAGTCAAATTTCAGAATTTAATCCTGTTAGAAAAGAAAGGAAAGCTTCTGACTTCAGAAGTTCTGGAGGACTCAGGCTAAACTGTCCCTTTGTCAGGTGGGGTTTGATCAGTGCAGTGACCTGTAAGGGAGCTGAACGTTCGACGGTCATGCCCTGAACAAAACCCGGTGATCCTGAGCTGCCAATGCTCAGGAACTGTGTTTACTGAGCACCAGAAGGTGGCACTGTGAGAGACGAGGATGGAGGTGCTGAGAGGCTAAATGAACGAGCACACAGCCTGCTTGCAGCAGCAGTTGTATTGTAGATGCCTTCAATTCCCTTACGTGCTCACCATGTGTCTCTTTCTTTCTTCTTAGAATGATCCAGACAAGGAATATAACATGCCAAAAGATGGGACAGTTCACGAACTCACCAGCAACGTACGTGATGGTGATTTGAGTCGTTCGTAGTCAAAAACAGCCTCTGAAAAGGTTTTAGAAAAAGCAGCAGGGAATTTTCTGGTTTTAAATTGATCTGTCTTGGTGTTAGAAGGGCAATTAACCAGCTTCCATGGAAAAATCAGCTGATTACTTGTTCTATGTGTTTGTGTTGTGTATGTGTTCGATGGGATGTGGTTGTGTGGGTACAGCCCACCAACTCAAAAGAGCTTAGGAATCTGTTTTTTGAAGGCTTTTGAGTAAGAAGAGATGTGTTCCTTCGTGATCCTTAGTAGCAGAGTATAAAAGCAATTGACTCTGCATTTCCTAACTTCCCTTCCTCTCCTCCAGGCCATCCTTTTCCTACAGCAATTGTTGGATTTCCAGGAGACAGCAGGTGCCATGCTGGCATCTCAAGGTACATGCATGGGGTTTATTTAGGCATGCAGTTCCTTTCCCAAATCACCTGGACATGTTCCCTAAAAAGATCAAACCTCTGTGTGCACTGTGAACTGGTTCTCCTCCTGTCCTTTGCCTTATGGTGTGTCCTGTCCTCCAATCTGCCATGACCATATAGTTGTTTTTCTGGAGAGCTCCAGGGTATGCAGAGTGTTTCCTTGCTGGCCTTCCACATTTCCACATGCTCTTATCAGGTACTTATCAGACTGGTAGATATGGTAGTATTGAGAGAGGATGCCTTAGACATTTAGCTCTAATCTGACACAGAACCAATTCCCTGTGACTATTCTGAGCAAGGTCCACCTCAGTTAGCTGTAACCTATAAGGGTTATAAGGTGATGAATTGCCTTCTTTCTCTGCCACATTCTCTGGTCAGAGTACAACAGCAGTAGCAAGAACAGTCTCCTCAGTGTCCAGCTGGGACTCCTCAGCTATTCATGTGCTGTGAAAAGTTATCAGTGGGAAAAGTTCTAGCTCTGCTCTTGAGGTTGCTAAAGAAACTAATTCCAGAAGGAAGTACGTGTGTTGGAAGCTGAGAGTACTGGCCTAGAGTAACAATGCTGAGGATGCTGCTGCTTATCAGCTAGAGCTTGACTCCTGGTTCTGCACAGAATAGCAGCTCCCAGCTCTGTGGTGAGCCCTTGGCCTAGGCAGAGCTCATGCTATCAGACAGGTCAGAACAGAGCAGGCTGGTGAGGTGCAGAGCTGGAGCGCAGCGCAGGACATCGGTGCATGGCAAGGCTGTTCTCATTTTGGGTTTCACTCTGGTTACTGAGTTTTGGTCGAGGTCTGGTTCCTGTTCAAGTGACCTGAATCACTCCAGACAGAGCATCATCAGATCAGAGGAATTTGGGAACGTTCACTTCTGTTAACAGAGGCGTCTGCTCTGGGATGGTGAATTGCACCCAAAGGTGCTTCTGCAGTGACTCTTTACAGTTGCTTGCTCAGATGTGGATGTCTGGAGTTGAGTTTGGAAGCTCTCATAGCGATCCCAAGTGATGGGAAATGCATGCATTTTTTTCTGCAGTGTTCTCTTCAAGTAGTAACAACAAGAGCAAAGCTTATCAGTTAAACGCAGTGACTGCAATCTGATGCTTTTACTGCCTGCTGAGTGGCTCAGCAGGGCCCTGTGTAACCATGCAGAGGTAGGGTGGGATGGTTTTACTTCTTGGAAAGGTTATGTGGGCCGTGCAGTTCATTTTGAGGCCCACTGAAGTGCTGCTGATGTATGAGAAGGCTTTATTTTGTCTCAGAAGTTAGCTTGAACTGACAAGGTGTCTTGCTAAATGCAAGCAATGACAATACAAACCATGTCTCTAGCAGGGGAAGGAGGTTAGACTCAGCCTTTTCTCCATTCATTTCAGCTCCATTTGTGGCCTTGGAGGGACTCCTGCCTGCTGTCTTGTGTAACTGTCTGCTGCTTTGTGTTAACATCTGCTTAGTTCTCAAAGGGAAGGTGGTCTCTAACCTGTGTTTTTGCACTTTGCATTTCTTTTTCTCTCTCTCTCTCCCCTTTTTCTCTCTGCTCTGCCTTAATCCTTTTAGTTCTTGGGGACACATACAATATTCCTTTAGATCCCAGAGGTAAGCAGACTCACCCTCACATACCCACTTATATTGCCTTGTGATGTATGTTAATTCTTTGTTCTCCAGGAGTGATAAATTAACACGTAAAAGGGGAAAAAAAAAAAAGGGGGAGAGACACATAATTGAAAAGGGAAAAAGGGGAGGGGAGGGTAAGTAGCTCTTGCCAGTGGGCTGGAAAGAATAGGGCTTGTCACCTGCAGACAAAGAGGGATGCCACATGAGCTGAAACAGGCTGAAGGCACTCTCATGGCACTGAGTCTGTTTGGCATGGGCAGCAAATTGGCCCAGCTGGTGTCATGCCTTATGCTATGTGTGCTTGCTTCCTCATTGTCCAACTCCTGGCAACAGGAGCCCTGAGGCCTTTCCCATGGGGTGCTTACGAACTCAGACCACCCGAGCTAGGCCTGGCTGCCAAACTCTCTGGTGGGGAAGGAGGAGATAGCTGCCCTGTATGTCCCAAACCCACAGGCCCTCAGGGGCAGGAAGCCATCCCTGTGGTGCACAGACAGAAGGACGCGTGCCAGCCTGCAGTCACTGCTTGCCTATGAGCAGGTGTTCATGCTGGTGTGGTCTCTTGTACAGAGCCAAGCAGGCCCTGTCAGCAACTGTGGGGATGGCTGAAACTTTCCAGAGCTCTTCTGCTTGTTTCAGTTACTGCTGTGTGCCTGCTGTTAACAGCTCCAGCTCGTTTGTTCTCTGCCTGCAAATTGCTGTTGCTTAAAACCCCGTTTGGGGTGGTGGGAATAGGAAGGGGAGGGTGTGCTTCTAATTGAGAAGATGCATAGTGTTGTCTGAGCACTGGGGAAAGGTTTTTGCCAGGGTGCTCAGCACCTGATGCAGATGCAAGGATCATCCTCACCCTGGATAATCCACTGACGATCATCACTGAAGCAGGGAGCTAATGTCACTGACAACAAGAGCTCAGCACTAATTCTGTAGCAACAGGGAAGGGGCTTGCCTGCATAGAATCAGGCTGACCACATGTGCCCTACTCTTTCCCGTTGCATGTTAACTGGCCCGAGACTCTTTTCTTTTCAGAGACCAGCTCTTCAGCTAGTAGTTACAGTTCGGAGTTCAGCAGGCGGCTGCTGAGTACCTACATCTGTGAGTACTGTGCACATCTTCCCACGTTTGCATGGGCTGTTTTGCATTTGACTTCTTGAGTGAAGAGTACTCTCCACTCTGTGTGATCTTTCCATGTCTGAGCTGGAGTATTATGCAGAAGTTGGATAGAAATAGTTGGACTGGGTGTTTTGTCCTGTTACAGTCAGACAAGACAAAGTACAGTGCAGAATCTCATTTTGCTTTTATTATCAGTTGCCTTAAACTATTTCCACGCTGTTCTTTGGGCCTTTAGTCCTGCCTGAGTGCAGGAGGGTCTCTGTAAAATCTCAGTTTTCTGTTTAACAGTAAAACCATCAGGTGAGTTCACAGTACTGCCTTGTGGTGATCTGTTGTCATGGTGGTCAGGTCTGTCAGGTTCCCTGTTTTGTGGTGAGGCTGAGCCTGATCACCCATGCTGGACCTGGAACTTGCACTGTGTTGCCAGCTGCAACCAAGCACTCGTTCACTGGGAGGTTTTGGTGACTTGCTGAGGAAAGATCTCTGTAAAGCTTGTAGGATTGCAAGGTACAATGGCTGTACCCTTGCCTGTACATTTAGTTGAGGCTGTGCTATTTGCTTTGCTGTGGATTCCCAAGAATAGCACAAAGCACTCTGAATTTTTAGTAACAAGAAGTCTCACTGCAAAACTTTTCGTCCTCTTTAAGGCAAAGTGCTGGGCAACTTGCAGCTTAACCTTCTTAGTAAATCCAAGGTTTATGAAGACCCAGCTTTGAGTGCCATTTTTCTGCACAACAACTACAACTACATTCTGAAATCTCTGGAGAAGTAAGTATGTATTCCAGTTAATCTCTCTGAAGTCTAGGCTGATGCTAAGTGCAGTTTTCAAGCAGACTCTGGTGTATTGAGTGCCTTTGCTTGCATGTCTGTCCCAGCTCTGCTATATTGCGTTCTTGAAGCTGCCCTTTTGAAACCTTTGCCCTACGTATAAACATTATGTTACACAAGAGTGGAAGATGAAAGCATCAGAGATGCCTTATGTTGCAGAGAATCCTTTCATCTTGAGAGGATTGACAGTGGTGCTTTGGAAAGCAACTTGGAGTAGCTCCTGCCTCCCCGTTTGTGCATTTCAAGGTCCCTTTACAGTAAAAAGGCACAGGTCTTGCTGATAGCAGCTGGCTCGTGTGCATCCTCATGTTTTCTGTTCTTGTTCCAGGTCTGAGCTGATCCAGTTGGTAGCTGTGACACAGAAGACAGCTGAGAGATCTTACAGGGAGCTCATTGAACAGCAGATCCAGACCTACCAGCGCAGGTCAGCTGGCATCTGTTGTGGCAACCATGACAGCATCCCCTCAGTTCTTCCCTCAGTTTTGTTGTGGTTTTGTTAGAGCTTCTTGAGAAATTCATGGCCAATGCTGGTGGAGGGTGGGAGAGATTCACCTAAACCAGAAACTAGTCTGAAACCAAACCCAAATATTCTGTTTGCCAAGCAATTGTTCTAACTTAGAACCTGGTCGCTGTGGAAGGCTTCAGTGGGTGCTTTAATCCAGTTTGGCCTTTGTGTCCTGGATGAGAGCATAATAGCTCTGGTGAGGTATTACTAACTCCTCCTCTTTGTTCTTTTTCCCATCTCATTTTGAATTCAGCTGGTTAAAGGTGACTGATTACATCTCAGAGAGAAATCTGCCTGTCTTTCAACCAGGAGTGAAGGTGAGAGGATGGACAAGGATGTTTTTTAGGTGATAGAAACTGCCAGAATCTTGTCCTTTGTCACTTTCAAAAAGTCCCAGAAACCTTCATTATATCTCATGCCAGTATTGCTGTGTGCAGTGAATGCTGTGTCTGGGACAAGAGAGGGAACAGCACTGCCTTCTAATCTCCCCTGTCCAGATTCACACAAGTCTTTCTAATCTCTGCCTCTAGTCTTTTCACTTGAGCAAATACTGCTATTTTGGATTTACAAAAGCTGGATACCTTTCCTTAGAAGGGGCTCAAAGCATAGAGAAGTCTATTTTTATGCCTGTTCTGGCTGAAAATTACCCTCTTTAAACGTACTTCAGTCGAAAGCCAGTTGCTGTATGTAGGGTGCACTGCTCACTGCAGCTTTTTCTCCTCCCTGCTTTAGGACAAATATGAGCTAAATAGGTGGGATTTCACTTGGGTGGGGAATTTGTGGGCAAACTGTGATGCTGGATTTTTACTTCTTTCCCTCCTTGTTGCAGCTCAAGGATAAGGAGAGGCAGATGATCAAGGAGCGCTTTAAGGTAAGGAGGGAAGAGATGGCATAGGAACATCCCATGGCTGATTGGACAGAGAAACAGGACTGAACTAAGATCTGCCTAAGGAGGAGGCCTGTCCAGTGGAGATCACCAATGGAGGGGAAAAATACTGCAGTAGAGACACGATTGCAGTTGGGACACTCACCAGGTTTTATTTTGGGCAGGGCTTTAATGATGGGCTGGAGGAGCTGTGCAAGATCCAGAAAGCCTGGGCAATCCCAGACGTGGAGCAACGGGACAAAATTCGGCGGGCACAGAAAACCATTGTGAAAGAGTCCTATGGTGCCTTCCTGAGCAGGTGAGAACCTCTTGCAACACTGTCATCTCTTCTGTGGATTTACGGAGTTTTTGGGGCCTAGGCTAGCCAGAGGTAAGGCACTTTTCTACTCTCCTGTCTTAGCTTTGCTATCTTGCACGTTAAAATGTCCCCCAGGGGGAGTTCTATTAGTTGTCAACATTTGCTTGTCACCCTGGTTCCTTGCTCAGTGAGTGCAGGTGTTCTACTTAGCACAAAGCTTTGAGCCACTTTACACTGTTCATGTCAACCTCAGGAGACCCACTGTAGATATCCTGTCAGATTGAAGTGCAAATGCTGGAGTGGAGCTGATTTCTCTGGCAGAGGAAGGGTGCAGGTGGGAGCAGCCTCACTCAGTGTGGAGAAGAGGAGGTGAGAGTTAATGAGTCTTTTGCTCTGTTCCATTTGCTTGCTACCTGGGGGGTTGTTTTCCTTTGCAGGTATAGCAATGTGCCCTTCACCAAGAACCCTGAGAAGTACATCAAATACCAGGTCGACCAGGTGGGAGAGATGATTGAAAAGCTGTTTGACACATCAGCATAAACCCACAACTTGTACTCTTCAGCTGCCAAGTACAAGTCAGTGCTCTTTCAGCAACCTTTGTGACTCCCTTCCCCTCTCCCCTGCCCCATTGTTGTGGGCAGGGTGTTATACTTGTATTTATCAGATTTATAAAGCTGTGGACACACAACCTCCTGTCTGTCTTTGCCTTCTTTGGATACTGAGCAAATACTGAAGATGTGCACTGCAGTGCTGTGTCTTGATTTATATCTGTACATCTTCAGGCTCCTTCATAAGTACTCAAACTTCGATGCACAGCTGACACAGGGAGTGTGTGAATCCTTTTGGGTACAGTCCTTCTCTTTAGGACGACAGGCTGTAAGCTCTGAATTGTGCTGCCTGCTTCCCTGATGGGTTTTGGGAATCACATTTCTGTAGGATACCAAAGGATTTTCCTGTGGTTGCTCATAACTCATTCTCTTTAGTATGGAGACAAGATGATCATTCTGAGGTACAGTATTGTCAGCGCTGGACCTCAGCAGACCTGCAGCTCTGCTATGTGCAGGGAATGTTTTACCCCAAAGCTTCATTAGCTGTCCCAGTAGCAGCTCTTTGTCCTGTGTGAGGCCGTGGTAGAAAGGGCAGCAGCATGCTGCAGTGAGGTTGGAGGGCAGTGAGAACCAGAGGGAGATCCTTGGCATCCTGACTGGTTGCTGCTCCTTGATGTGAGGCAGAATGTGTCAAAATGTTTCCATATTGATGTCTGCAGAGGACCTTCTTCCCAATTCTTCTTTGTACCCTGTCTTGGTACCTGATGCATCTCTTTCCTGCAAGCAGCCAAGTCCATTCTCTTGATAAAACCTCTGAGTATCATGTGAGAAACAAATGCTACTTCCCTAGTGTAATTTTCTGGGCACTAGTCCAGCCAGCAGTGTGACTTGGAGTGGTACTTGCAGGCTTTACTATGGAAGCTGAATTTGGCCATCTTCACACCAAAGCCTTTCAGAGCTTTGGAGCATGTTTGTCTTTCTGTGTTCTCAGTCCTCCTTCTCCCACCTCACTCCTGCTGTTGCTCCATTGTGGGGTCTTATCTATCATTTCCCTATGGGAACACTTGAAATAGGGGTTTCCATAGAGCTAGGTGTGCTCACAATAGCTGCTACTTTGCAATCTGGAGCAAGTCCATTATTCACCTAAGCACGTGTTTACAGAACTGAATGTATGCTGGCACCTAATTAGCCCAGCAATGGAAGAGCCATTGTGTCACCATCGGGGCACTGCAAAGCAGAATGGGGGTGGAGGAGGAGAGGAGGCAATGAGGCAGACCTCAGCGTGAAATAGAGTGAGAGCAGGTGGTAGAAAGGAAGGGAGCAGGATTTTAACCCTTCTGCTGCTGTGCATTCACCAACCCTGCCTTTTCTTTTCCACACAGCTTGCCTCAGAGCTGCGAGGTGGGCTGTATGCTAGGAGCAGCCTGACCCAGGTGGTTGCAGTGCCAATGGATAAAGACTGGCCCAGGGCATCTCTCTTCTCATGTTGTGCAAGAGTTGGATGTTAGAGCCTGGATGAGAGCACAGGTCCTGCCATGGCAGAGCCTTGCTGCTGCCTGCACAGACAACTTGTTCTCAGGTAGCTCTCGGCCTTTCCAAACCCCTGACCTTTTAATTATAAGCCTAGATCTAAAGTATGGTTTGAAACACTCAGATGGTGTACAAAACTCCTTTAAGACAATAAAACAGCAGCAATGCCATTTGAGAGGTTAGTCCAGCCCAGATTTGCTCCACTCTGTGGGTTTAAATCTCAGTCACATCTGCCTGGCCCTTTGGGTTTGCAGTACCCACCTGAGAGCCCTCTTCCCTGCCTTCTGATCTCCAATGCTTGAGGAAATCTGAGATTTCAGAGTTATCTGTTTTTCCTCTGCAAGCTCTGAGAGCTTCTCTGAGGCTGGCAGGTCCTGGACAGAGTGTTTTTAAGCATAAAGCAAAGCACTGCTGGCACATGTTGCGTGCAGTGTCAAGCATGCTGGATGCACACTCTGACATTCACCAGAATGATCTGGATTCCATCTTTCTGGATCTGTTTCTGCCACAGCAGTGATCTGATGTGTATTTCTTTCTCCGGGAGAGCGGGTGGAATTTGTTGATGTGCTCAGGCTGAGGCTATAAAACATGTGCTTTATTGCAGCTGATTCCAGGACAAAGTGATTCACCTGGAATGGTTGCAGGCAAAGCTGAGGGAAGGAAGGGGGGAGCTTAGCAGCCTTCCTGTACCTTGCAGGGGCCTACAAGAAAGCTTGAGAGGCGCTCTCTGTCAGGGAGTCTAGGTGATAAGACGAGGGGGAATGGTTTCAACTAAAAGAAGGGTGGTCTAGATTAGATATCAGGAAGAAATGCTTCACTTGGAGGACGGTGAGGCATTGCTGCCCAGAGAAGCTGTGTGCCCCATCCTTGGCAGTGCTGAAGACAAGGCTGGGTGGGCTCTTAGCAACCTGGTGTACAGGAAGGAGCCCTCGCCCCTCCGGGCTGCCTTGAGGGTTCTAGCAGTGGCCCACTCTGCACAGTGCTCAGGACCAGCACTGCGTGCTCCCTGGCTTTTTATGGTAAGGAATGTGTGTGCAACACGTTTAATAAGAGTGACCCTGCCAACAGTGCAGTGGTTCCAGCTGACTGCTGGCAGAGGTGACAGCTGAAAGCTGCACAGTGCTGCTGGGCCTGACACACTTCTCCCCCTTGCTTCCTCCAAGGATCCTGCTGGTTTTAAGGCCCTTCCCTCTTCCTCCTTTACAGCCCCAGGTTCTGATCTGGCTGACAGTGCATCCGCTAATGCCCATGGACAAGTGCTTTTGTTTCCCACTATTTGGACTTGAGGGGCTGGAGATCTGTTTCAGGAGAACTTTTTTTTTACTGTGGGGGGCCAGACTGTAGGGCTGTGCTAGGGTTTGGGAGTGCTTCCTGCTCTGGTGAAATCCTTCTTTGCTGCCCCAAAACAACGACTCAGCAGGGATGGGGACGTGGGACAGAAACCCTGCAGATTTCCTGCTGCTGGCAGTCAGGTACAGCAGAAAGCAAGATGGGGGCTTAAAAACCTCAGCCCCCCCCTGGATTCCATTGCAATACCAGGCAGGAAATTTGACATGGCAAGAATTTAAAAGCAATTCCTGGAAAAACAGCATTAAAACTGTACTCTGGCAAGCTTATGTTAACCTGAGCTTTCAGTCTTGTTTCTGTGAGCTCTGCTGGGCTTGGTGAAAGCTGAATTTAGCTTATTTATTTCCTTCTCCCCATTGAATTCGCTTTTATTAAACTTTAACCTTTACATTTTATTACACTTTAAGATGCTGGGGCTCAGCATCTCGCATCTGCTTCTCCTTGCTTGTGGCATCTCCACTCCTTCTGTGTGCACCTTTGTACCCAGATGCTTGATTCCAAGCTTTCCCACCTCTCTGGGTTTGTGCTGCTCATAAGCCCTTGGCAGCAGTCACAGAGGCAGTGGAGTATCTGCTCTATTTCTGCACCATCCTGTAAATGGTGTAATGATCCAGCAGGCTTCCATCTCGTTGCTTGTAAGCAAGCAGCTATGGATCAGCAGGTGAGGATCCATAAAACAGGGAGGGCAGGGGCGGATATGTCGCACAGTAGAGATCACAAGGAGCAAGAGACTTTAACTCAAATCCCACCTGCAAGGAGGTGTCAGAAGAGTGGGCTTGGGCTGCTGGAAAAGGAGGTCAGCAGATCCACGTGAATTTTGGGATGTGCTCTTCAAAGTAGGGATGGTAGTGGCAGAATGTGCTGCGTCTCCAAGTGCAGCTCCCACCCCTGGGTGCTCCACCCCTGGGTGCTCCACCCCTGGGTGCTCCATCCCTGGGTGCTCCATCCCTGGGTGCTCCATCTCTGGGTGCTCCATCCCTGGGTGCTCCATCTCAGCTCTACTGGCACCCACCAGCCAGGGGAGCCAGGCAGCCATGAGTCACTGGAGTCGGTTTTTGGGAAGGTTGTGTTAAATGTAATTAATGGATGTGCTGAAAGTCTCTGCAAATCATTTTCCTTGTTCACTAAATCATTTCTTGTTAGAAGATTGCTCTTCCTGTCTTTGCTGATAATTTTGCACCTCCACATAGTGCATGTATTGATCCTGTGTTTGACTGCAGCACCACAGCGATGCTTTCCCGTGTCTCCAGCTGAAGATGGATCCTGAGCAGCTCCCTGGGGGACAGCTTTCCTTTTATCACTGCTGTCTCCTCTGCATCAGCACCCAGCCATGCCAGCATGGGGAACGTGTTATTGGGGCAGTGAGGAGATGGTGGGACAATGTCTCTGTCCCTGGCACGAGCAGGGATTGCACCCCATGGTGCAGGGTGCTGAGGGCAGGAGGAGGCTTTGAGCTGAGTTGGTGTGGCTGTTGCAACGCTTCCCTGGCTGGAAAGGGTTCAGCAGGGGTGGTAAATACAGATATGAGTAATGGTGCTGTTTATATAATCACATTCTGTGACTTATGCTGTTAGCAGGCCTAGACTAAATATAATGGCTATTGATAGGAGGCAGGGGCTGGTTTCTGGCCCTCCACGTGGGGACAGGAAGCTGATTATAATAACACTCAGTGGGGGAAAATGAGTGTTTTGACAGCAGGGGAGGGAAGGCAAAGCCTTGGAAGGGAGACAGCGCAGTACCAAGGAGGAGCGGGGCTGCAGGGTCACAGCCCCCACAGCGTGTCCTAATGCTGTGTTTTCAAGAGTCCTCACCTCTGCCCATGATTTCTCCCCCAGCCCCTTAGCATCCCTCACCCCAGGTGTGAGCAAAGCAAAGTGAAGCAAGGAGTAGCTTCATCCCAGCCCCAATTGCATTGAGCAGGAGGGAAATGGAGGAGGGGGTTGCAGGTATCCTAAGGGAGGTGACACGATCTGCAGGATAGAAGCCTTTAGGTCCTCATTGGAGCATGTGGACCTCATGGGGCCCTGCAGCCCAGCCTTGCTCTGTGGGGATGTAATGCTTGGGCTGCGTGGGTTCTTCCCCATGGGAAGGGCAGTGCCAGTGCCTCAGGTCCGAGCCCTGCCTGAAGGGCCCACACTTCCCCAGTGCTGATCCCAGTCTCACCTGACGCTCCTGGCACTGGAACCTCTTCCAAGAGGCCCCAGCACCCAGTCTCCATCCCCCCAACAGTCTTTGTAGAGCCTGCACCACACTGAAAGCCAAAGGCTGCTGTGGTTGGAGGTCAGAGCTCTCGTGAGTGACCGGGTGTAGATGCAGCAGGGAGCAGAGGAACAGGTGATCCTACCTTAAAATTGATTCGGGGTTTGGATCTCCCTGCTCTCTGCAAATCCTACACTTGGCTCTTTGGCTGAGCCCATAGGAATCAGCATCGTTTCAACAGTTCTGATGTTTGAGGGGGGAAAAGGAGAAGATTTGACACAAACCCAACACGCGGTCCATCCCCAGGCCCGCCATACTGCAGGAGACTGCAAATACAGCGTGAAGGGAGCGCTGCTAGGTGACACGGAAGGTGAGGAAGGAGCCACCAGCTTTCTGCCCACCTCCCCCCTGCTCTGCCTCCCCCCAGGGCTGAGCTCTGCAGCGCACCGAGGAGCAGCCAGGCCCGGCCTCACTGAGACGAGTCACCTCGCTGAGCTCTGCCTCCAGCATGCTGACTGTGTTGGTCCCCTGGGCCACGTGCACCTTGTTGGCTGCCTTCTTGTGCAAGAGGCAGACGAAGATCTTCTTGAAGCCTTTGCGGAAGTGCTTGGAGACCAGGGCGTAGACGATGGGGTTGACACAGGAGTTGGCATAGGAGACGAGGTGGGAGAGGATGCGCAGGACGTACGTCGCGTGGTTGAGGGGAAAATACCCGAACCAAACGCAGAGGATGAGCAGGTGGTGGGGCAGCCAGCAGAGGCAGAACAGGACGGCCACGATGATGATCATCCTGGTGACTTTCCTCTTGGCTTTCTTGGACTCCGACATCTCTTGGAGAGGATCCACAGACCTCCACAGGTAGCGAATGGTCCGCGTGTAAGTGAGGCTGAGGATCAGCACCGGGATGATGTAGCTGAAGATGAAGGTGCAGAGATCCATGACCTTACGCTGGGAGATGGCCCAGACCGGGTGGCAGACGGTCAGGTTGGCCAGCTGGAACTGTTGGTAGTAGCTGAGGTAAGGGCTCGAGAAAATGAAGGAGAGTGCCCAGATGAAGCAGATGGCCACCAGTGCGTTCCTGGGCGTCCGCAGCTCCCGTGAGTGGAGGGGATATCGGATGGCCAAGTACCTGCGTGGGAAAGGAGGGGGGCGCAGCTGCAGCTCTGGGCAAGGCATGGAGATCAGGCTGGGAAAAGAGCTGAAGGGATGGACTTGAGCTTCCCGGGGCTATCGGCGATTCCCTGGTGTTTGCAGGGATTTCTGCAGCACAGTGGGCTGAGAAACGTCCTCCTCTCCAACCCTGTGCTGTCACCCAATCTGCTCCTGGGGGCAGGCAGGGACGGCCCCCTCCTGTCTCAGGATCCCCAGGACACATCCAGTGCTTTCTGAGGGAACTGCCCCGGGTCTCACATTGAGCAGAGCCAGGTCCTCTCTGGCTGCTGTGAGATTGGAACTGGGAGCGCTTGCAGTGCCAGGAGCTGAGATAGACCAGGGTGAGGCAATAGGCTGCTTTTAAGCAGAGAGATTTTACACTGCCTTCCCTGCACCCCCTGCTGAGCAGGCTGGGACAGTCACCACAGTGAGAAACACCACAGGGACAGAAATTGGCTATCCCTTCCTGAAAGGGGAAGATGGAAAAAGCAGTGTCCAAGCTGAAACATCCCTAAGTTTTCTCTTCCTCGAGGGCTGTGAGCTGTTCAGTGGACAAAGAGCCCCAGCAAGAGCCGGTGTTGCACAGGGACAGAGCTTTGCTTCACTGTTTCACCATCCCCTTTTCCACTGCTGCAGCCTTAGGACAAACCCTGATCCTTCACCTTTGGGGTCTGAAAGCACCAGGAGCTTCCAATCCCACCCTCCTCCATCCTGCAGCAGGTTCCCAGCCCTCAGCATTCACATCACCTTGCACCCACAAGCAGGGAAATGCTCCTTGGGCCCCCAACAAGTGCTCACTGCCCTCTCCTGCCTGCGTGGGCTTTGGCAGAGCGGATGCTGCAGTGCTCAAGATCCCCCATCCCCTTTCCTACCTGTCAAGGGAGACGGTGGCCAAGGTGAAGCTGCTGGCATACATGGTGAGGTAGATGAAGAAGTGGACGGCTTTGCACAGGAAGGACCCAAACACCCATCCCTCCAGGGTGTAGATAGTGGCTTGGAAGGGGACGCAGAAGAGGATGAAGCAGAGGTCAGCCACCCCCAGGTTGAGGATGAAGAGGTTGGTGGTGTTCTTCACCTGCCCATTGCGCAGCAGCACCGCCAGCACCAGGCAGTTGCCCACGGTGCCCACGAGGAAGATGAGGAGGTATGCAAGGGGGATGAGCACCGACTCGGGATGCCAGCTCTCATCCGAAACTGCTGCCGACCCGTTCATGGCCAGGGGTGCGTGGAGAAGGGAGAGCGCAAAGAGCACTGCAGAGTGGTGCACCAGGATGCCCAAAGGGGGGCACGCAGAGCACGAGGGGTGCCAAGGAGCCAGCAATCCTAGGAGGGTGCAGGTGGGACGAGAGAGCTTCGCCTCCGTCTTGCTCGGGAGCCAGCAGCCAGTCTGTGCTGCTCCGTGCTCTCCCTCCCCCCCGAGAAGGAGGAGGAGGAGGAGGAGGGCTCCGGGGCGGTGGCAGCTCCAGCCCAGCCCCTCGCAGGCTGCTCCGTGGGGACAAACACTGAAATCTGCACCCCCAGCAGGAAGGCCCCCAGACAGCACTGGGGAGCTGGATGTGGTGGGACAGCAAAACCTCCTGAGTGCTGGGATCTGGGGGAGATGGGGCTGCGCATCCCAAAGGGAGAGCCCCCAGTGCTCAGGTGGTTTTTGCAGCACAAGAGCTGGTTATTGAGAGCTGGGGCTGCAGGGGTTTAGGAATGGGAGTTCTCTCAGATTGCAAATGGGTAAATTGCTCAGCATGCAGCCAGGTCCCTGCACCAGAACACTGCAGAGATGAGTAAAGGTTTCTATGAGAATCCATTTTTCCTCCCTAGGGTGGGGGTGTAAGGTTAATACACTGCAGTAAGAACAAATCTTTTTAATGTCTCTTCTTTTTCCTGCCTGCAAAAATTGCCTGCTTTGTTCCTTCCCAGTCTTCACAAGTGGAAGTCTCAGTTTGCTCAGTGCAATCAGCTCTCCAAGAACACTTCACCTTCCCACAGGCTGCCTCCCTTTGTTCCTGTGGAGGGAAACATTAAATGCATCAATTACTCCAACAATTAACCCACTCTGCAGCTTCTCCATCAGCTTGATGGATGCCCCAGTCTACCCCTGCTGGCAGTGCTGGTACACCAGGGGATGCTCACAGCCCTGAGGCACTGGTGCAAGGACACATAACAGCTTCTTCCCAAACTTTGGTGTAACTTGCAGCCTGCAGGCTCGTATACAAACATCATTATCAAGATCCCACACAGAAATTGCAAAACAAATTCTCCCTCTCGCTCAAGACGTGGATGCATTACTTGGGCAGAAATTGGCTGACTTGGGGGTCGGGCAAAAAGATTCGCAGCAAAAAGCTGCAGCACGAGAATGTGGCTTTGTTTTTCCCCTTTCAGTTTTCCTATCCAGAAGAGGAAATGAGAGATTTGAAATCGGTAAGCAGAGACCACAGCTCAGTCCCGGGGAGGGGCAATGAGCAAAAAAATCTCGTTGTATCGCAGCAGCAGGCTGAGCCCACAGCATGGGAAGGAGAGGCTCCCCAGGCAGATGGGAATGGAAGAAGTCCCAGAATGGCAGTGAGAGGCCAGGACAGCATCGCCCCAGGGGGCTGCTCCCAAAAACAGGCATCTGTGGGGCTGCGGTGGGCATGGCCTGCTTACCCAGGGCTATGGCTGAGCACACAGCCCATGCCCTGCCCTGGGCACTCTGCTTAGCAAGGTGCCCTTCCAGGCCTTATTGCAGCTCTGCCTCCTGTGCCCAACCTGCTTCTGAGCCTACACCCTCAGACCCAGCTCGGCTGAGCAGTTCTTCTTTAGAATCTCAACACTCAAACCCCAAAACCACACTAAGGAGAGGTCAGCGTCAGCCTGCCCGGCAGGGCACAGCAGCCGTTTTGCTGGGGGCCCGCGTTAAAGCGAGCAGCAGCGGGCGGACGGGGGCTGGCACAGGAGGGCGCAGGGCATAAGGCGCTCCACATGGACTGGATGAGCGCAGGGACTGACCGCCGCGCCCGGGGCTGCCGCGGTCCTCCGCGATCCCATCAGCCCCCGCGGCGGCGGCCGCTCTGGCCGCGGCGTCTGCGCGCGGCTCTACTGCCCCGGCCCACAATGCACAGCGGCGAGCGCGGCCCGCGTGCAAGATGGCGGCGGAGCGGCAGGGCGGCCGCGGCGGGGCGGAGGAGAACAAGGAGAACGAGCGGCCGGCGGCGACGCGGAGCGACGGCCTCAGTGACAGCCTGGGGTTGGAGAGTATCCTTCGGAACGGCGGGGGGAGGCGGGGGATGCGGCGGGATGCGGGAGGCTCGGCCCTGCGGGGCGGTGTGGACGTGGCGGGGTCGGGCCTGGCCGCTTCCCTCAGCGCCGAGCGGGGAGCATCAGGGCCTTTCCTCACGGGGAGAAGGGGCCGGGAGGGGTGAGGAGAGCGGGGCTGCGTGGCCTGGGCTGAGTTCTTCAGTCTGGATTTGATTTTGGCCCTTTGAATGGTGGCTTTGTTCTGTTCGCAACTCCTTCCCAGGTACACGTCAGCTTTCGGAGCAGAGCTGAGCGCCAGGCTGCGTGCTGTGGTCGCAATGTTAATGCTTGAAGGGGGCAGCAGTGGATAAACGTAACGGGTGTCCCGGCAGCTCTGCTGGATATGAGTTTCTGAAGTGTGATGTGGCATGGAAAGCTGCTGTGTGTGTGTGTGTGTGTGAAACCTGTCCAGCTGCACAGCTGTGGTTGGGCTGAGTTTTACCTTCTGGGTGATCCACGTGAAACGAGGCTGCGGGTTTCAGGTCAGCATATGGCAGATGTTAGGAGGTGTGTGACTGCAGAGCAGGAGGCAGAGCCAGCCACTGCTGTGGTGGGATCATAGGGTGGTTTGGGTTGGAAGGGACCTCAAAGATCATCCATTTTCAGCTGTTCTGCTGTGGGCCGGGCAGCCAACCACTGAAGCAGATCAAGATGCTGAGGGCCCTGTCCAGCCTGGCTGTGAGCACCTGCAAGGATGGGACATCCGTAGCTTCTCTGGTACTGTCAGGGAGAAAACCTAAGACAGCAAATGTGAATTAAATAGAGGATATGGCTTCAGGAAGTAATGGCACAGGCTAAGGAAACAACTTGAAAAAAATCTTTTTAGAATCCTGGAGTGGTTTGGGTTGGAAGGAACCTTTAAGATCATGTAGTTCCAACCCCCTGCTGTAGGCAGGGACAATTCCCACTAGACCAGGTTGCTCACAGCCCCATCCAGCCTGGTATTGAGTGCTTCCAGGAAGGGGGCATTCACAACCTTGCTGGGCAGCCTGTTCCAGTGTCTCACCACCACGATAGTAAAGTATTTCTTCCTAATATCTAGTGGTAAATCTTAAGCAGGCAGCAGGAGTGAGGAATGTGTGCCCTCCTATTCGTTGCAGTCTAACTCTTTTACTAATGCAGGCTTTCAGTGCTTAAGCTGTGGAGACTTTTTGATAGGCAGCAGTGATTCTGCTCAGCCCTCTATAATACATGTCTCCTTTTCCTGAGAGATGGGATGTTTAAGGGCAGGAAGGCTGCCCTGCTCCAGTTGTGTGAACTGTCACAGATAAGATGGGAGCTGCTGAGGTGTAGGTAGGGCAGGCAGTCACACTGGCCCAGATGCTTAATCTTTTTAGCTAGGAACAAAGTATGGCAGCAGCAGGATCTTGTGGTCCTCTGTACACAGAGATGCTTGCAGTATGTGTTAGTCCTTCCTGTCACAATAGACAAAAAGCTCCAGGTAAGCAGTGGAGATGGTTCTTTCAGTCACTTCTTACAACTGTGGGTTTGTGTCTTTGAAGAGCTTTTGGGTGCTCTCCACCAGCTTCCGTTGAGGGCGTATTTGCTTAATGGAACTTACAGAGTTTCCTGTATTCTTTGGGGATAGAATGTAGAACTGATAGCACACTGTACTGTCAGCCTGCCTTAACGCAAGTCCCAGTCCTTCAGATTGTGAAGGAGTCCCAGCAGCAGCACGGCTTACGGCATGGGGACTTCCAGAGGTACAGGTGAGTGAGCAGCGTGGATGTCTGGGAGTTGCTGTCTGTCTCACAGCTGCTGTGACTTGGTTTGCTCTATTGGCACAGTAACACTGAAAATATAAACCTGCTGTAGCAGTCAGCAAAATCAGTGTGCCAGGTAAATATCTCCTGTCAAGTTGCTTTGTGTCTTTTTCCTAATGAAGCCTAATTCTTATGACTGTTCCACTGAGCAGTATAAATACTGCTTCTTGTTTTGGAGTTCCTTTTTAAGAGCTTGCTAACACCTCACTGTGCTCTAACACACAATGAGCGAGCATAAAGAAGTTAGACAACAGGAAGAGCATTATTCTGATTTTTCAAGACCAAGACTTGTTGCATGTCCTGCCATTCTTATCCTGTTTATTAACCACTGCTTTACAGGTCATTTCTTAAACACCTCTCACCTTATGAAGTTCTGAGTTGTTCAAACAATGCCTGGCTCAGCCTTTGGTGGCGACTTTCCTTTTCTGATTGGAAACATCAGCAGACATCTGCACAACTGTGGCCAGACTGACCTCTTCTTTCCCTTAGGGGTTATTGCTCCCGGCGGCTGAGGCGGCTCCGAAAAACTCTCAACTTCAAGATGGGGAACAGGCACAAGTTCACTGGGAAGAAAGTAACAGAAGAGATTCTCTCAGACAACAGGTATGGCTGCTGGCTGGAATCCTGTGTTAGGGAGTGGTTGCTTTCTTCCTGAGCATTTGTTTTCATGTGGGCATCGTGGAAAATGGTTCTGTGCAGCATATGTAGATGTATTTCTATGAAGACATTTGTGCTGTTGATATTAATAGAAGATGAATGTTCTGGCTGCTGTGCAGGGGAGGGGAACTGCTCGTGTGCTGCTTTCATCTTGTGAATAAATGGGGAAGGAGCAGCAATAGTCAGTCCTTTTTTTTCTTTTTTTTATACCTCCCAGTCACTGAAATGGCTTCTTTTCATAGTCAGTAAAGATTACCTGGGTATTAAAGAGGAAATGCTTACGAAAACATGCAGCTAGGGAAGGTGTATGAATGCTGATAATTCAAGTGCTGCAGCCAGCAAGAACGTGACAGGAGATAGAGCCCATTCCCTTTGAACAAAAGCTTGCTGTTTTTATGTAGGCTTCCAACACCTGGCAGAGTGCTTGTTTGGTATGTGGGCACAGCCAGGGGCTTGGGCTCATTTCCCAGCTTTTAGAAACACTTGCAACATGTGCTGTGTTGTCTTTTCTTGGTGTTGTTAAGTCAGACACGTTGCAGCCTTAGCTGTGGGGCTCACAGATGTGTTTACCCATTTTGAGCCTGGTTGAAAAGCAACCTGAGATCACAGATTGCTTCTTCTTAGCAGTGTTTGTGCTGCTACAGAATTGTATCAAGATCTCTTCTTCACAGAGTCGCAGGATGAAGGGACCACGAAGCTCCAACCCCCCACCAATGCAGGGCCACCAACCTCCCCATTTCATAGCAGCCCAGGTGCCCAGGGCCCCATCCAACCTGGCCTTGAGCACCTCCAGGGCTGGGGCATTCCTCGTTTAACTAATTACACTTCTGTAATGAGAAATACAGAAGAAGAGATGAGGATAATACAAGTTTATGTCCTCATAAAGTGCAGAAACAAAAATGTATGCTTTTTATTAGCCAAGCTAAAGTTCTGTTGGCCAAATTACGGGTCACTTGGCAAAGAGCTGTCAGCGATGTGGCAGTGCTTGCTTAAACATCATCATTTTCTCATTAAATCTTCCTCTCTCTGCAGGTATTTGCTGTTGATTCTGATGGATGCAGAGAGAGCGTGGAGTTACGCCATGCAGCTCAAACAGGAGGCCAACACGGAGCCTCGCAAACGCTTCCACCTGCTGTCCCGCCTGCGCAAGGCTGTGAAGCATGCTGAGGAGCTGGAGAGGCTGTGTGAGAGTAACAGAGTGGATGCCAAAACAAAGCTGGAAGCTCAGGTATTCACTGATGCTTTGGTCTTGTTTTACAGCTCAAGCCAAAGAGGGAACTTGTGGATTTTAGGTGAAGAGATTGTCCTCACCTGGCAGTAGGTGATCAGGATGGGCTGTTTCTGGAATCGGGTGATGTCTCCATGCTTGGATTCACTGGTTCTTGCAGCTGCTAGGATTGCAGAAGTAACAGTGACACCAGCCAGGCTGAGGACTTTAAAGTTGTTTATGTGTGTCAAGTGGTTGTCTTTACTTTAAAAAGCAACAGTAAAAAGAATTGGTAGGGAATAAGTTCATAGAATCATGTCATAGAATGGCCTGGGTTGAAAAGGACCACAGTGCTCATCCTATTCCAACCTCCTGCTATGTGCAGGGTCACCAACCTGCAGACCAGGCTGCCCAGAGCCACATCCAGCCTGGCTGATACATCACAGCCCCATAAATATACTTACCTGTTTTCTACTTCTTTGATGTCCCAGGGTAGACACCAGGAATATAAACTTTGTGGCTTTAGTTGCTGGAACACAGAAAGCAGCTGTGTTGTGAGCCTGGACTCTGAGTAAGGGTTGCAGTGGTACTCAGCTAAATGGTTGTTTTGTGGTTTGCTGTTGAAAAAGATGTCTTGTGACATTTGTGGGCCGTGTTGGTTATATAACAAGCAGGAAACATGTTTTCTTCCATCTCCTTAGAAATGTCAGTTTAACAAAACAACAAAAAACCCTTCCTTAGGCATTTACATGTAATTTAAATCAGTTTGTTTTCTGTGGGAACATCAGACAACAAGGGTAAGGGATGATCACTTACTCTAGATGTCACAGCAGCCTTTATGCTAAAACCAGGCTGTCGTGGGAAGATCAGCTCACTTAACCCTTGTGTTGTCTGCAGGCATACATGGCTTACCTCACAGGGATGCTTCGTTTTGAGCACCAGGAGTGGAAAGCAGCAATGGAGGCTTTCAACAAGTGCAAGTGAGTCCCTCACTTTTAGTAAACAGCATGGGGGTAAGCATGGGGTTGAAGGCTGCATGTGCAGTAGCTGTGAGCTGATCAGGTAACTGCATTCAACCAGGAGGTGCCACTGAAGAGTAGCAGTCTCCAGATCATGGACATCCCACTGTGGTGTTAATGTGTGTTTTTCTGCTAGGACCATCTATGAGAAGCTGGCCAATGCTTTCACAGAAGAACAAGCTGTGCTGTACAACCAGCGTGTGGAGGAGATCTCTCCCAACATTCGTTACTGTGCCTATAATATTGGTAAGGGAAGTGGCTGCTTCACCTCCAGGCACCAATGAGCTTGCTCATGGGAAGGGAACACTGGCTTCTAAATACTGCTTTAAGTAACATAGGAGCAAGCCTAGATACAAATACAGTTTTCCAGGTTGTTTTTTTTTCTTTAAGACAAAATATTAATTCTCAGTAGTTTGCATATGAAGTCAGAATAAAAATAAACATGTATCCTTCTTGCCCACAAATCCCCAGTTCTCCAGTATAAGGTGTGTTGGTTATCCATTAAAATAACTTCTGAATTCAGATGAAATACATCCTGATGTGTTAAATCTTACAGGTGACCAGTCGGCTATGAATGAGCTGATGCAGATGAGGCTGAGGTCTGGTGGCACTGAAGGCCTTCTTGCTGAAAAACTGGAGGTAACTTCCTGAATATTGGAACCCAAGCATGCAAACATCACTTCTTTGAGCATAAATATTGCTGCAGCACACCACTAAGAGCCAGTGCATATCAGGAGAGCACGAGTAAGCTCATGTGTGGGAAGCCACACTCCTGGGGAGGTGGGGGGAGAAGCCTTCAGATTTCAATGTAATCCATTCTGGATTCTTTAAGTTTGGATTCGTTATGTTTGGACTCATCATCTCGATCCATTCTCCACAGGCACTGATTACCCAAACTCGAGCAAAGCAGGCAGCCACAATGAGTGAAGTGGAGTGGAGAGGAAGAACTGTTCCTGTGAAGATAGACAAAGTGAGGATCTTCTTGCTGGGCCTGGCAGACAATGAGGCTGCCATTGTCCAGGTAAGTCAGGAACCATCTCCAGTGTCTGTTCTAATTGTCCTCTTTACTTCACCATGCCTGGGCTGTAACCTTTTCTCAAACTTGTGGTCAAAAGGCTAAAATTAAAAGTGGAGAAGTATGATGCTCAGCTGCTCCAACTGAAGACAAGCAGAAGGAAATGTTCTGTAAAGATCACCTCTTTCCAGCAACAAAAAGCCCTTCTGCCAGATGAAGTAGCTGCTCTGAAGTTTAGAGCACTCTCTTGTTGCCTTAAGCAAATCTTCCAAAGCAGGAAGATGATTGGTAAATGGCAGGAGGCAAATTCATCTCCAATGTAACTCTTCCAGAAGCACACACTATGCACGCTTTTAATACTGCAGCCAAGAGTTTTCTGTGGTGTCCAGATGGTCTGTTCTGCAGACAGCATCTTGGAGGAGGCACTGCAGAGGTCTTTAGCAGCAGCTGTTGCCCCTGATGATGGGCTTTGTGGAGCACCAAAAAACTGCACATCAACAGGAGAAAAATGAGGATAAATACTAATTTAAATGATAAAATCTCACAAAAGCATACGGCAGGACAGGGGCAGGAGATAGTAGTAAGGAGGCAGTCTGATAGGACAGGTAGGGTAGGGCTGGGTAGGAAACATTAGTGTTCACTAGTTTTGCCAGGCTCTGGTGGTGCTGTTACAGTTTTAGTAGGTATACACTGGTATGGCCAGCAGGTGGAAGTGCAGCTTAGAGTTCCTGCTCCCTGCTTTAATTCCCATCCTGTGAGAGCAGCAGATGGATGGTGTCAGTGAAGCTGCCCTCTTTGTTCCATAAGGCAGTGGCAGAGCAGCAACCTGAAATCTCCAGTCTTACTTTGTGGTCCTTGGAACCTCTGTAAACAGGAATTGTGTCATCACAACTAGCAGTGGTGAGAGCTGAACACAGAGATCAGTATTTACATTACCAGAGGGCTGGAGCTGGGCTGTTCTGCAGTCAGAGGGTCAGCTGTGATGGACAGTCCAGCTTCACCTCCATGAGCTGTCACTGCTGGGATCTTTGGCACCTTTCAGCTCAGAGGAGTAGCAGAAACTCGTGTATCAACAGCATTCCTCAGAACTCATTGAGAAACAAACACACGTGGATGTGCTTTGAGGAAAGGTGGAGATTCTCAGCCTTCAGTGTCTTGTTGGCAACTGGAGAAACAACTCCAAGCTTAAAATTGTTTCTGCCACCCTTTTTGTAGACCTGAATGCGTGACTTCAAGAGCCACATTGGTTCTCCCTAGGCAGGTGCACTTGTTTCTCAGTTTTTCTCTCTGCTATCTTGCAAATCAGAGCACGAACGTGTTTCCATGCACAACCTGCTTCACCTTAGGAATTTCTGCTTAGAAACCAAAGCCTTTGTTCCACTGCATGGCCCAGCCCTCTCCTGTTTGTGCCTGACTGATGATCTCTGTCTGTTTTCATTTTTGTGCGTGCAGTGAGATGGCTGCATTCTGCTGGGTGAGGCTGAGAATGCTGCCAGACTTGTCTCTGGTTATTCTCAGTAGTCCATCCCACCTCAAAAGTTCCTGCAGCAAACACACACACACACACACACACACACACACACACACACACACCACCCCAAGAACCCCCCCACCTCCCTTTTAGGTCAGGATAGGTGAGGCTTTGTGAGGCAAATAACAAAAAAATAACATTCCTTCCTAGGTTTGCAAACCTTACCAGAGGAGAGGCTTTCAATGGTAAAGCTCAGCAGTTTTTCACAGGAACTTAAGCTCTGAAAAGAGGGGGCTGTGCAGCTTTTCTGAAAGTAATACAAGCAAAAATGTCTTCAGGCTGTTGGTTTTTTGTTTTCTTTTTGGCCAATCTCAAGTTCACTGCGTTAAATTTTGCTCTTCCTAGGTTAATCATTCCTACAATTGGTGAGGTTGGGATTTGTTTCTGGGCAGTTTCATTTTACCAAATCAGTCAGAGTGGTTTTGGGCACGTTGTTTAATTGGCTGTGCCAGTCCATTTGGCAAAAATCAGGCTTCACCTTGGTTTTTTTGTGTGGTAGTGGTAGTTTATTATTGCTTTCTTCGAAGGTGTTTCCAAATCTTGTTTTGGGGGGCAGGAGGCCAAAAACTTCTGCATGTTTTGATCAGATTTGTCGTGACAGCAGAAAACGCCTAACAGCTCATTCACAGCTACTGAAATACAGGCCTGCTTAAAAAAAAACCAAATGCTTCAAACAAACTAATTATTGCCACTGAGCATCACTCAAGAGGGAGTGTAGAAAAGATAGTCATCTAGGAGTTTGTAGCAGGAGAGAAAAGCTAAATCAGCATAACAAGAGCAATCTGCATTGGTGCTTTGCCAGGTCGGTAAGGCTCAGCTCTCCTGTTTGTTGGGCCTTTCCTCCAGCACAGCCCAACCTCTGCCCTTCTCAGAGCTGCTGTGGGCTGCTGGGATGGCAGCAGCTGCAGGATGAGGTGAGCAGAGCTGCCTGTGCTGGGCCTGCAGTGCTGTGGAGCTCTGACCAGCTGCCCTGCAGCTTCTGTTCAATTCCTGGCACTTGGTCCCCTGAAGTGCATCAGAACTGCAGGTTGGGTTCTGTCTGCCCTGGGTGTCGATGCCGTAGTTTGGGAGAAACTTGCTTTCATCCCCTCTGTTAACGCTTGTACTGTGGGATGCGAAAGAGAGAAATGTGTGACAAATGTCTTCATTCTGCTCTCCTCTCAGGCAGAAAATGAGGAGACCAGGGAACGTTTGTTTGAGTCTTTGCTCAGTGAGTGCAGAGACGCCATTCAGGCGGTGCGGGAAGACCTGAAACCAGACCAGGTAAGCACCAAACATCAGCGGTCCTACATTTAACTCTGCTAATATAGCTTCTAAATGTAGTTCTGCTCTGGGACTGATTCATTATTGTCTAGCTTGCTTAACAGCAAGAATCTTTATTTTGACTTTCTTTACTAAAAATTTCCATGGTAGTTTATCACCTCTGATTGTATTCAGGGTCGGTAAGAGTGAGTGACAGTGCAGAAGCCCACAGTTGATTCAGCTCTGTGATTCACCTGACCCTCGAGTTGTTCCTGGTGTTTTCTTTCACCAGCAACCTGTGTAAGTATTGTCACACAGCATTTTGTCCCCGATTTCCACAGAAGCAACGGGAGCACTCTCTGGAAGGTGATTCTGGGAAGGTGTCCAACATACAGTACTTACACAGGTAATGGGCAAACACTGCTGCCAGCGTGAAGAAATCAAACTCGTGTCAGTGTTTTATTTCTGTTTGTTTTGTTCTGTGAGGTTTTTTTGTCTCGGACCTCTCAGGTCTCACAGGATGACTGTGCAGATAAGATCTGATTCATGTGGCTTTGAAAGGATTTTACTTAAGGTTGACTTTTGAGATGGTTCTGCTCCTACTAGTATCAGCCCGGATGGGGGGAGGAGCCTTTTCAGAACAGAGCCATGTCCCAGCAGTGCTAATGAGATCTCTTTGCAGTTATCTGACTTACATCAAGCTGTCCACCGCCATCAAGCGCAATGAGAGCATGGCAAAGTCCCTGCAGAAGGCACTGCTGCAGCAGCAGCGCTCAGAAGAGGATGGCAAACGCACCCCACGGCCTCAGGACCTGATCCGCCTCTATGATATCATTCTACAGGTGGGTGCAGAACAGCCTGCCTCCACTTTGTCCTCCCTGCACTTTGTCCTCCCTCCCATTTATCCTCCCATGCAGTTTTCCTGTAGCTTTTCTGACTGTTTCGTACAGCTGCCATAGTTTCTGCTGGCTGGAGAAGGCAGCAGCTCAAAAAGCCCTGTGCTTGTTCTTCATAAGCAGTTTCTCCATTTCTCACATATGTTTTCAATTAACTGTGGGAGCCCCTGGCTCAGGAGGTTCTGAATGGGAAAGGAGGCTTAGGAAAGAATTACTTCATGTGAAATCTTAGGAGTCTTTGTCCTAATTCCTGTTTGTGTCAGGAAATCTGTCCTGAGGGCAAACATGTACAAGTTTCAGTCAGTGTCCTTTGTAAGATTAGCATACTGATAATTAGAAAACTGGAAACTATGTTCATGGGAGTGCAGTGCTGAGTATTAAAAGGGCCAGCTTTCCAGATTCCAGAGGAAAACAACGCCTGAATTTGTTACTCTGTTTTGCACAGAACCTCGTGGAACTGACACAGCTTCCTGGCCTGGAAGAGGACAAGAATTTCCAAAAAGAGATTGGATTGAAGACGCTTGTGTACAAAGCTTACAGGTGACTGAGAAACAGCCAGGTGCCCTCCAGCAGGCATTACACGTTCAGAGGCTGTTATCCCAAGGCTTTATGCACATTACAGGACTCTGATGCAGTTTCCTCTGCCCTTTTGTGAAATGAAGAGTGGTTGCTAAGGGGAAGCTGGCCAGACGTGCTTAATGGGCTCTGTTATCAGGGATTTGAGTTGTAAAAGGTATGGATAACAAACACAGTCACATCAGGGGCACTCTTTACTGTTGCAGGTGTTTCTTCATTGCACAGTCCTATGTACTGGTCAAGAAGTGGAGTGAAGCTCTGGTTTTATATGAAAGAGTGCTGAAATACGCTGGTGAAGTTCAGTCAGGAGCTGGAGCTTTTACAAACAGCTTGAAGGTAGGAGCCCAGTGCTGCGTGCAGAGTGGAGCTGAAGTTAATGAGAAAGCCTTGGCCCAGTATTTATTGTCAATTAGGCACCAGGCCATTAAAATTCAGGGCTGATCTTCAAGTGGCAAAATTAATAATCTGAGTATGACTTTGTGACCTGCTGTTCTTTGTAGTGATGTGGAGCTGTTTTGACAGGCCGTGTGCTTTGGAGGAGGTGGCCTTGCTGTAAGAGCTCCCTAGCACTTTTCCATGCTTTCTGTCATGCTGTATTTGTAGCTTCTTAAGGGCTGTCCTGGAGTTTGTCCTCTTCTGGAAAGGCTTATTAGCTCTAGCACTTAATTTTTCAGTCCCTTGTCAGATTTTACTTTTGCCCTCACTCTGGCATGTCTCAGCCTTGCACTTCATTTTTTTTCATGCCCTAGGAGCTGCCTGACGTGCAGGATCTGATCACTCAAGTCAATGCAGAAAAATACTCCTTGCAAGCAGCAGCTATATTGGGTGAGTTCTAGAATTATACCAGAGTTATAACTTGTCTTGAATAATGCTCCTGCAGCTGTTCAATTTCTTTTGTTTCATTTCTGAAGTTCAAGTGTCGTTCCACATAAACTCTGACTTATGGAGGCTCCTGAAAATGGTTTCTTGCCAGTTGTAGCTTTTCAGTCTGCTTGTAGTGCAGCTAGGCAACCATTGACTGGACGCTTGGCATCTTGCTCCCTGCCTGGAGTTGCAAATGTGCTTCCTCAGGACATGCATCTGTTTTGGTAACCTGCTCAGAATACTTTGCTTAGTGTTTAATTTTCCTCTTGCAAACAAATTGGGTTCAGTACGTAGCACTTCCTTGACAGCAGCACCAGCTCTCATTGACCTTACCTTATATTTGCCTATCTGGGAATGTGAGTGTGGACCAGGTCAGGGGAGCTTGAGGGGGGTGGATGAACTCTGTGACTTCTTGAGCTGCTGGTTTTGCAGGGCCTGCTGCTGGATAAAGATAAGTGACAAACTGCCTTGTCTTTTATTGCCTCTTATTGGTGTTGTCTTTCATCAGCTCTTGCTTAACTCAAATTGGTGCTTCCTTCAGGAGCTCCTACAGCCGTGACATGGAGAAGCTCTCCATCACTGGAGTGCTGTGGTGGCTGTTACTCAATCTGCGTGGTTCTCTTTGTCTAGAAAGCAAGCTGCCTCTACCACAGATGTTGTTTTGTACATCCCAGAAAGCAAGGACACAGCTCAGCCTAGGGAACAGCTGAAGATCTTCTCTGTTATCCTTAGCACCTTTTCTTTAATTTTGCAGATGCAAATGATAATCATGAGACTGAGTCTCCGTCTCAGGTCAAGGATGGCAAGGTAGGAGCTAAGAGTTCTGTCAAATTAAAGAAGTGCTCTTTAATGAATATTGCTTTAAACCTGTTACCTGAGTGTCTCTTGAAATCAAGAAATGTCAGGTTAATTGGAGCTCTGTCAGGACTGCAGTGGGTGAGAGGTTTTCGTCGTCTTGTTTTCCTTCTGTGAGTGCCGAAGGTGGCTGAAGGGTGGAGTTCCTCAGCTTGGAACAGCTTGCAGCTTCCTACGTGCCACTTTGTATTGTTGTTTGGTTAGTTTTCTCCTTGTGTTTGAGGAGGTTATCTAGAGCAAGGCTTTGGAAGGGGATCAAAGCATTCCCAAGGGCCCAAGCTGTCACACGTGGGATTTTCAGCTTTGGTCAGTGCTGCTGATTTCTCTGTGCCTGGTGGGCTTGTGGGCTGTGTTTAACTTGCCTTTTTGTGTTGCTCTCTTTCAGCCACTCTCAGAACGGTTTGAGACCTTCTGTCTGGATCCTTCTCTGGTCAGCAAGCAAGTCAGCCTCGTGCACTTCCCTCCGGGCTTCCAGCCCATCCCATGCAAACCCTTGTTCTTTGACCTGGCCCTTAATCATGTTGCTTTCCCACCTCTGGAGGACAAGGTGGAGCAGAAGGCCAAGAGTGGCCTCACGGGATACATAAAGGGCATCTTTGGATTCAAAAGTTAACCAGGACCCCTCTGAGGAACAGAGGTTTTAATCTGTGTTGAAGGAGAAGCTCCAAGAGGTTGTAGGACATAAACATCTGCACCTGAAACCAACAGAGGGGGAGGCTTTGCCATCTTCTTCCCTGTGTTCTGTGTGTATGTCTGTGCACTCACACTCTCTCCTGGTGTATTAAAGACAAGCAATCTGTTCAGACACTTAAGTACACTATAAATAGCTGAAAATTGGAGCACAGACACATGGCATTCTGCTCGGAGGAGTTGGAGTGTGCTTTGTGGCTATGCTGGGGGTCGGTACACGTTCACTTACAAGGCACAGGCATAACTTGATTCTCCCCCTGCACTGTTATTTGGCATGGATTTTGTTCCAGAAATTTGGGTATGATGGGGAAATGAGGTGACACTGGAACAGTAAGCTGAGGCTGCCTACACAGCGTGTGGAAACAGCCAGGGGGGGCTGCTCCTTGCCTTTCAGCCCCCAGCCCCTGCTGAGGATCATGTATAGTTATGTAAAGAGGAATTTCTTTATTGTTTAACATTCAGCAGTCACAAACCAGAGCCTCTTTCCTTATCAGTAAGGATGGTAACTATTGTAACAAATGCTAATGGTTACCCCTGTTGTGTTGGCTTGTAACTGGAGTTTGTGCTTGGGGCTGATAGGGTTGTTCTTTGTTGATCCACGCTCTGTTAGGTGACTAAATGCAGTATCAAACCCATTGCTGCAAGGCTTTTCTTGGGAAGCTGCAGCTTCGTGGGTGTCTGTAGGGATAGCTGCTTCATCTTCACGGGAAGCTGGGGCTCTGGGTGTTCATTCTATCTCTGATCTAAACCTTGTCTGTTGCTTTTTCCTCATCCTTTGCTGGTAGATGTACCTGACAGCAGAACTAAGCAACTGCTGGGTTCTTGAGTGATGGCTCTTGGTTCTCCTGAAGCAGCTGGGTGCTGTGGTGATGGGCACTTCCAGAATGCCAGTAACTCCATAATCACATTCATTGAAGAGGGATGGGGGGAGGGAAAAAAAAAAGCACATGGGCAGAACTGGTCCTAAATAAAGTGTTTGGAAGCTCTCATCGGCCAAGTTTGGGTTCTCAGTGTTTGCAGCTGGGAGTGGAATGCTGCATTGTTCTGCCTGCCGTGTCCCCGTGTTTAGGCACTGCAGTTAATAGGGGTGGGAGCAGAAGAATGGCTTTAAATGATTTGACTGTTGTGGGAATGATGAATGGGGGGAATTAATTCCCATCATTTCAAGCTGAATGTTCTCTGCTTTGTTCCGAGCTGATAGGTGGGTTCTCAGAGTACACAGCAGCTTTCAAGAGGAGGAGGGGGAGCCTCTTGTTCTGTGTGCAGTTCTTTCAGTGGAGATTTTTGGTGTTCTGGCAAGTTCCATTAGCCCACATACAGCAGGGGGTTTCACAGCAGAGGGGAGTTGTGGAAATGAAGCACTGAGGGCTGTTTATTCACCGGGTGATGATTTCTAGAACAGCCTTGGATGGCAGACTTCCCATGAAGCCAGTTTCCCTTTGCACGAGGAGAGGTCCTGCAGTAACTGAGCTGTCAGCTGGTTGATGGCTTTGTGGTGCTTTAATCTGAGCTCTCTTCTGCTTTTCTGCCATCAGTTTGAGAGCCGTCATCCTGTTTGATTTGCGAGCCAGGCTCCTTTCTGCCCTCCTGCCACAGGTCTGTGGTGCCTGGATTGATTCCAGTGAAACTGGTATTGCCACCACTCTAATTTGTCACTGTTACAGAAAGCCAGGAGCAACATAAAGCATCGTGCAGAAGATAACTGATGCGTTGGATGCAGATAAGGAACCTGCAAACAATAAAGTCCTTTTCCCGACCTCTGAGGCGTGCAGTTGGTTGAGCTCTGAGCATTCAGAGGACGGAGGCTTCGGAGGCAGGCTGACACCAAAGCCTGGAATGGCAAAAATAAGATGCAGGCAGCAGGAGTTGTGAGGGAGCAGCACAGGCAGGTCTGAAATGTTTGTACAGAACAGAAGGGTTCCCTCAGAACTGGTGTGTGATCAGTTGTGCCACCGGAGCACGGAGCAGAGTGCTGGTTGGGGATGGTAGAAACCTGCTTCCTTATTGCTCAGCTCCTCGGTCGGACTGCTGTTGGCTGGGAAGGGCGTTCTCTCCTCCCATGCCATGCAGTCCTTGGCAGTGCCCTCGAGCAGGAAGCAAAGGGTTGTGATGGCCTTCAGTCAGTTGTGCAGTGCGGTGCCTTTGGTCTCACAGTGCTGTTTTAATTACGGGCTGAGCAGCTCGTGCCTGCTATGGCTGCATCCATCAGAAGATGGGATCCATCGCTGCTGAGGGCTGCTGTGGTCAGGTGGTGCCTTCAGCCACGTTCACTCCAGGGCCCAGTGACAGCAGGTTGGTGTTGAGGAGCTGATGGATGGATGTCAGTAGGGGGAATGATGAACGTCAAGCAAAGCAGGCAGCTGGAAAAACCAGGGAAGAGGTAATGTGGGATGGGAATGGTCTGACCTGAGAGCTCCTAGACAACAGAATCTTCCTTGTTTTTAAAGGCGGTGTTTTAGAGCTGTTACTACAACAAACCACAGCGCTTTGCAATGCTTCAGAGTGGAAACATTCCAGGTGAGTGGAACTGTGGCTGTCGCCCTCTGAGCACACAACCAGCTCAACCAGCAGCTCAGATGGAGGGCTGGGAAATCCCCATCCTCTGACAGCAGGAGTGATTCTGCCCACCCCATGGCTCAGGGTGTGATTTGAGATGTATGGGTTGTTCCAAAGCACGTAGGAAAAGGTGGAGGTGGGTTGGCTTGTGGAAGAAGCAGAGGGGGAGGTCTGATGAGAGCAGGGAAGGATGCGAGTCCAGTGCCCCCAGACTCTAACAGGAAGCTCCAACAGGAAGTATGGAACACGATAAGAGGAGTGCTGAGCCTGGGGCTGTGCTACTGGCTGTGGCTGCAGCCTCTGCCTTCTCCCTGTCCCTGCTCTGACCCGAAGTGCTGAGCAGCTCCTGGCTGCGTGGGTCACTGCTGCAGTCCCTCTTCTCCTGGGATTTGTGCCTGGGTCTGGCACAGCAAAGGTTGGTGCTCTGGGGGTTCGCCCTTAGGGTGAGGTCAGCTCAGCGTGCTGCTTGATGGCTGGGAGCGGCTCAGAGCTTTGTAAGCCAGCACAGTCGCTGCTGCTGTGGGAGTCCCATCACTGCAGGAGCCTTGGTGGGCACCTGGAGCTGCAGAGCTTGCAGCACAAACCAGGCAGCGCCGTTCCTTGGGTCTGTTTGCTCTGGGGATCCGTGCTGCTGCTCCCCATCCACGCACGGAGCTGCAGCTCTTTGCCCAGGGCCCCCACGCAAGAAACACAATTAGTGGCTCCGTGCCATGGTCAGCACAGGGAGCCCGAATGGCTGAGGAGCAGCATCAAAGCCTCTGAACCACCTTTTCTTCTTCTTTTTTTTTTTTTTTCCATAGGGAGAGCTTCTAATTTTCTCAGCACATCCAATTACTGGGGGCAGGCAGTGCCTGGCTGCTCAGGGTGAGTGCTGAGGGATGGATGTGCCGTATTCAGAACAGGGTGGGGTGATGGCATCCCCAGCACAGAGCTGCACGGGTCCATCTCCAGCACGAGAAGCTCTGGGCCGCACTGGGCGATGCAGTCAGTGCCACCCTGAGCCCTGCAGGGACTGGGGTTGGTGCATGGCAGTGTGCAAGCAGTGCTGTGAGAGCAGCTCCGCTCATCCCGTGGGTTCGTTGCCCCTCATCGCTGGGCTGGCTGATGGGTGCTCAGATGCAGTCGTTCTGTTTGTGGAACAAAACGTGTTGTGCAGGCGAGGTGTCGTGAGGATCTGCCCTCGGTGTGTGTGTAAGTGCTGCTGTCACCGCCCTGCTGGCTCCCGGGGAGAGGAAAATGAGGGTAAAGCAATGGGTGCTACAGGGCAGGGAGCTCTGAGGAGCCGCGGGTTGATGCCATGAGATCAGGGAGCTGCGGGTTGGGGCAGTGCGTCCTTTTGATGTCTGAGGGGTCGGGGTGAGCATTGCCCTGGGATGGAGCCGCTAATGAGCGGGGAGATGGTGCCCTGTATTTAGAGAGAGGCAGAGGAGCCCAGCTGGGACTTTCCATCCATCCACCCAACGCTTGGAAAGGAAGAGGAGCAGCTCCCTTCTGCCCTCCCCATCTGCATCCTCGCTCCGGCTGCGGTGCTGTTGGCAGAGGCAGCACAGCATGCGGGACGTGGCCCCGACACGCAGCCCCGTTCATCCCCCAGAGCACCCAGCACAGGTGAGGCTGCAGCACGGGTTGCTGACTGTGTGGGCTGCTCCCAGCATGCCTGACACCGGGATGCAGCAGCTCAGCATCTCCATGAGCGTTATCTCCGTGCAGAACTTCTTCCCTACAGCTAACAGAGGTGCTGGGCTGCTGAACTCGATCAGCACGGCGCAGGGTGAACGGGCCTTATTGCCTGACAAATGGGATCTCTGCACAGCCAGGGCCTGGCACTGTTTGTAGAAGGACCCAGGGGAATTATCCCAAAAATGAAGAAATTCGAAACAAGGGGAACTGGAGTATGGAAAGGGCTCAGGAGGGACACAGGGAGGCAATGAGAAGGCAGATGTGTTTCCATCCCGAGGGACAAATAGTTTTAATTGGGGGCAGTCCATTCTGAGCCATGTTAAGCCCTCACCTCCCCCGGCAGAGAGGTCTGTGAGGTTTGGCTGCACGGGGAATGCAGACAAGGAGAGGTGGGGCCCTGTATCCCAAAGCCCTCGTGGTGCTGCTCGGGTGGTTTTGGAGAGCTGCATTCGGGCACAGGAGCTGAGATGCTCCTGCCCACGGATTTTGGGCTGGGGCCCAAAGCGGGCACAGATGTGGGTGGCTGTGGTGAGGGCAGAACGGGTCAGACTCGTCTCCCAGCCTGTTGCTTCTTGCAGGGGCCGCGTGAGCGTGGCGGGATGGGTGCTGGGAGCTGCAGCACCGCTGTTGTGCCGGGGGTTCCTGCAGCAAAGCCCGGCTCCCACTGCACTGTGCTGCTTCTCGTCCTTGGTTCTGCAGTGGTGCTCATCAGCAGCATCACCAAACCACCTGGGGGAGGTCAGGCTCTGCTTTTGTCTGAGAGCAAAACCGGGGGTACAAAGAGCCCTGCAACAGAGCCTGGTCCCGTGCACCTGTCCTTCTGATGGGATTCGTTTTGTGCTGGTTTAAAAGGACAAAGAGGTCAGCTGGGAAGGGCTGGTGGGTGCCAGGTTTTGCTTTTGGCCCTGGGTTGTTTCAGGCTGTAGGAAATGGGGCAGAGCAGCACAAACCCAAGCCAGCATCATCATGCTCTGCCAATTGTGGTGGTGCTGCTTTGGTTGGCTTTGTCCATAGGGCTCCTGCAGCCTCTCTAGCACCTGAAATTGCCCGTGTGAGTCTGTGAGTCGAGTTGTGCCCACAGCCGCAGCATCTCAGCTGCAGTTTTGGACTTTTACCCCCTATGAAGGCGCAGTCCCTCTGCTGGGACGCAGCACTGGAACGCTCCCTACGCCGGGGTGAGGTCTCCCATTCTCCCTCTGGGGCTCAGCTCTTTCCATCCTCCCCCAAACTGGTTTTTCGAGTCATTTTTTTCATGCAGCTCCATCTCCGCGGGGAGGAGCCTCCCAGAGCCGCTCCTGGGCTCTGCCTCCTTCCCCTGAGTCCCTCGTCCCATCCCCATCCCCGCAGCCTGCAGCACCGCCGCCCCGACAGCTCCAGCATCGCGGCCGCAGCCTCTCCAGCATGTTCAAGGCGGTGGGCAAAGGCTCCCCGAGCAGAAATGCCCCCAGCAGAGCTTCTCCAGCCAAACCCAACAAGTAAGTGCCATCCTCTTCGTGTGCCGTCATCCACGACCCGGGAGGGGGGGAGGTGGGAGGTGGGAGGTGGAGGGCTTTGGGATGCTGCCCTAAGAGCGTCGCTCGTGGTGGATCAGCCACAGCGCTGGGATTTGTGGTGGTCCTGGTTGTTTTGCCCTCATTTTTGGTGGGCTTTATGTTCTGGTTGTGGTGTTTCCCAGGGTGTGCAGTGCCTGAACATGAACTTGGAGCACTGCTAGCTGAGCAGCAATCCTCGCTTTGGCAGGAAGGAGCAAGGA